GTTTGTAAATAGAGGAGGAATCTGCCTGTTTTTCCTCTAGTTCGCCCTCTTCTCCGCCTTCACTAACATCTCCGCCAAATACCAAAGACCCGGAACAATGTCCGTCCGCTACTAGGTTCCTTTCGTGTTTTGCCCGCCTTCGTCTCCCGGCAACGGACAACAACTTCCGGGGTCAAATGCGCTGCTCCGTCTCTATCGCAGATGCAGAAAATCACCGGGAGCATTTCTCCCTTCATAAAGGAGCTTCTTTCAGACATTAGGAGAGCTGTTTTGGTGGTAGCAGTCTCTCCTCCATGCTGGTCTGTTTGCTGCTGGGTGTTTTTGGTTTATTTAAACTTGGTAACTTGAACATAACATTGGTAAAGCTACTGTTAGCATTTTCGCTAACAGCTTCTTGCGTTTGGATAAGCTGTTACGTTTTGGTTTAGAGTTGATCTTTTTGTGGTGCAGATCTCCCTTTTATTACATTTAGAGTGTTGTGGGTTTTCGGTTTAGTGTAAAATATCACCTTGAGTTTGGTTTAACCACCCAGTTTAGAGTTTGGAACTTTGGAGATTCTTATTTTGGTCCAGAACCCTGTAATCTCTGCCCAGTGGGACATCCCTAGTTATTTGTACTTTTGTTTTAATTCCCCACAGGCAGAATTAGTTTTATTACTCCCAACCTGTGGATGAAAAGATTTGTTTGTTTTTTTGTAGTTGTAAATAAACCTGATCATCATTTTAACTTTTAAATCCCACATTATTGTCCCTTCCTTTTTGCACACGAGCCAAACTCCCCAGGAAGAGTCGTAACATCACTCGCCTCACACACATAAATGACCAAAACAAAGCAGCATGGAGACACTCCGTCTCCAACCACCTCTCAGGCAGCAGCCTGCACTCCCAAGTTCTACACGTCACCAGAACGTAACCAACCAACACAATAAAAGCAGTGTTATACAAAATGGGAGGCCTGTAGTGTTTATTCTCTTACAGAAACAATTAATCAATTTTTTGGAGGAATTTATTAGAGATTTTTTGGTTTTTATTAACTGTGCAATAGAAAAATAATCATTAGATTAATTGTATAAATAGTCATTAGAATAGTCGACTATTCGATAAAATAATCGTCAGAATAATCGTTTTAAAAATAATCGTTTACCCCCAGCCCTATCTGTTGGTCAATAAAGGGAGAAAACAAATTTCTCCACAGTAGGACAACAGATTGGCGCATGGCAGTGACGTCATTAAAAGCGCCGGTTAGAATAGCCGAGAGTCTGTTTACGCCTAGAAATCCCAGACCCGCTCCAAACGAACAGGGGAATCATGTTAATGATTCCTAACAAAACCTCTCGATATTGAGATGTTTTGGTGCAGATAATGTCTTATTTCGAGGCTGCACCATGGGTGCCTGTCCTCACCCGTTATATGGCTATACACTGATGGCGATTCGCCACTGGATCTAAACACCCCAGGGAATCCAAGTAGCACCAAAGTTGTCAGCGTGAGTAAACAAACGTACTGCACGCTAGAAGTTAAGTCCGGGCTGCAATAGACGGGAGTTTTCCTTTAAGCATATAAGCGTGAATATACAACTACGTGTCGGACTTGGTATGCTAATTAAGTTGGGCTGTGAAGCGCCTCCCAAATTCGCTGCTGCCATTGTTAACAAAACTTGGATCGGAGACAACTTGCGTGGGAAATTGCAATGTAGCCATGCAGCGTCTTCTTCTTCTGTTTGTCTGGGAGGCGGAGGCTGCTTTACGGCATCTGGCTGTCGTGCGTGTCGGTGTACTTGAAGAAGGCTGTGTATATGTGAGACTCCATAATATCGATACCACAGGGATGGAATATCTAATTTAGATACCACTTTTAGTATCGATTTATACCGTAAATCCTCTAATAATAGCCTGTATTTAATTAACTGCCGGGTATCATATTTTGGCCGGTGTTGGAGTCGGCGGAGGTGAATAATGGCCGGTTTTTTAATGTGGCCGGGTGGAATGTGGTAAAAAGCAAGTACGGGGTGCGGTTGTGTCATCCGTCTCACCTTTGATTTGCCAGTGATAGAACATGAGGGTAACTTTAACCGTGCGGAGATGAAGAGGAGGCGAAAATTTGATATCAAGTTCAAAGAGAACGTGCTGATTATGCTGCAAAACACTCTGGGGAGCAGTAGCAGGGGTTGTATAAACTAGTCACTAGTCGACTTCACCGCTCTGTAGTGACTTTTTATGCCTGTCATCGACTAGTCGCTGTCACGTGATAATGACCGGCAAGATGCAGTCCACGGAAAAGACAGCAGCCTGCTGTCAGCAGGTGACAAGCTCCTGTGCGTCAGGAGGCAACGCGCTGTGCCAGAGCGTCGGTACTGACACCCGCCGTAAAACGGACATTTAACCAAATTGTGACATTTACCCTCTTGCAATTTAACCTTCCCCTCACCCCATCCTAACCTTAACCAGCTTGTGCATGCAAAGCTCTGACGGTTGACGCGCTCCAGACATCTGCGTCCTGAGCACGGCCACAGTAACATTATCAAATCAGGTGTCGCCACCTCAAAAACTAATTTAACAAGCAATCGATCATGTCAGCTCATTTCCTTTTATGTTTTCTGTCTTTTATTCTTTTATTTGTGCCAGATGTGTTTCGGTGCTGTGGATCGGGGCACACCACCTGTTTTGTCCTCCGGTGATGCACCTAACTGATGTGGCCGGCGAGCACTCCGCTGTTTTTGCGGTCGGTAGATCTTTTAGAACTGCAGTTCAAAGGTAACTCATAAGGTGAATATGTATGAACCCAGGTAGCAGTTTTTCTTTAGGACTGAGAGGAGATGCAGGAAGATAACAAACAGATACAGGACAGAAAAATAGTCAAATAAAAACAAGTTAGTTTTTGTACCTGGTGGTTGCAACAAACAGACACCACTGAAGGTAATCAGAAGTGAGGAACAGAAAATGAAATAATTATTTTAATGTTTAGAGCAGCAGGAAATCCGAGAGGCTGCAGGCGCATCAGTGAGTTTGCGGCCGCTGCGCGGGGGAGTGGGGAAGAGGGCTGAAGCAGAAACTACCGCTGTTAAAAGAAATGTGTTTAACTTTGAAAATGTGGGCGCACTTTTAATTGTCAAAAACTTCAGCGAACCATTAGTTCATTTTGCTCAAATAGAAATTGAGGCCTGCCTCCAATTCTGGTCCTCCTTCCAATAAAGGCCTGGAGCTTGATGAGCTTGAGTCAAATACAGGCCCGGGCCTGTATTAGAGGATTTACGGTATCTGGGTATTGATTTTTTTGACAACACTAATCAGTATCATATCTAGGGCTGTAGCGAAGCCTCGATAACATGGACGGCTCGATTCTAAAAATTTGTCGATGTCAGATCCGGTAGTCGATGCACCACGCCCACTTGTTGCATCCCCAGGAGTTTGTAAATAGAGGTTTAATCTGTCTGTTTTTCCTTTAGTTCACCATCTTCTCCGCCTTCACTAACATCTCCACCAAATACCGAAGACCCGGAACAATGTCCGTCCGATACTAGATTCCTTTCCTGTTTTGCCTGCCCTCGTCTCCCGGCAAAGGACAACAACTTCAGGGTTCAGATGCGCTGCTTCGTCTCTATCGTAGATGTAGAAAATCACCGGGAGCGTTCCTCCCTTCATAAAGGAGCTTCTTTCAGACATTAGGAGAGCTGTTTTTGTGGTAGCAGTCTCTCCTCCGTGCTGGTCTGTTTGGTAGGTATTTTTGGTTTATTTAAACTTGGTAACTTGAACTTAACGTTGGTAAAGCTACTGTTAGCATTTTCACTAATAGCTTCTCGCATTTGGATAAGCTGTTACGTTTTGGTTTAGAGTTAATCTTTTTGTGGCATAGATCTTCCTTTTATTACATTTAGAGTGTTGTGGGGTTTCGGTTTAGTTTAAAATATCACCTTGAGTTTGGTTTAACTGCCCAGTTTAGAGTTTGGACCTTTGGAGATCCTTATTTTGGTCTAGAACCCTGTAGTCTTTGCCCAGTGGGACATCCCAACTTATTTGTACTTTTGTTTTAATTCCCCACAGGCAGAATTAGTTTTATTACTCCCAACCTGTGGATGGAAAGATTTTTTTTTTGTAGTTGTAAATAAACCTGATCATCATTTTAACTTTTAAATCCCGTGTTATTTTCCCTTCATTTTTTTTTGCACACAAGCCAAACTCCCCAGGAAGGGTTGTAACACCACTCACCTCACGCACATAAGTGACCAAAACAAAGCAGCATAGAGACACTCTGTCTCCAACCACCTCTCAGGCAGCAGCCTGCTCTCCCAAGTTCTACACATCACCAGAACATAACCAACCAACACAATAAAAGCAGTGTTATACAAAATGGAAGGCCTGTAGTGTTTATTCTCTTACAGTAACAATTTATCAGTTTTTTGAGGAATTTATTAGATTTTTTGGTTTTTATTAACTGTGCAATAGAAAAATAATCATTAGATTAATTGTCTAAATAGTCATTAGAATAGTCGACTATTCGATAAAATAATCGTCAGAATAATAGTTTTAAAAATAATAGTTTACCCCCAGCAATCATATCAGTAGTACATATATAAAATAATAATCACCAGTCTGTGATAAACACACACACACACACACACACACGAGAATCCATCACATGACCACAAACTATCAAAAACTGTTTTCTGAAAAGACAACATAATTGTTGCTGCAATAAATTGTTCAGCCTTTGTTCTTGCTAACTGTTCTCCCTTTTGTCTGGTACAAAGACCACTACAAATGATTTAACACTGAAAACAAACCTGAATTTAGGCACTGTACAGGTCAGACTGTGTTTTCACTTTGTTTAATGTTTATTTATCTACTTAAGAAGAAATGAGTTGTCAAATTTAAAGCCTGCATTATAAATGTATTCACGCATCATGACAGTTTTCTGTAGCATCGTTCAAGCTGCAGCAAACACACAAACACAAAGAACAAACACACTCAACATTGGCAGGTTGCCAGATCGTTTGGTTCTGACCTTCTTTTCCACCCCACAGCTGCTGCCAAATTTGAGGCCGTCCCTCCATCGCTGTACGACACTGACACAAGGAGAGCGATCAGCCAATCATGGCAGGCTATTTCCCAAACTCATGTGTGTGTTACCATCCATCAGGCAACATTCCACAAAAGCAGTAGTAAATAATAACAAGGGGGCTAGCTCTACCCCACACTACAGCTTGTCCATGGGCTGCTTTGAGCTCATTACTGGTTTATCACAGTTAAACACATTTACCTCCCTGTGGAGGGTTTCTATCCCACTGCTTCTGCTCTGCCAATTCTGGTCCTTTAAACACAGCTTCAAGCACAACTTTGAAGATCCAAAGAAATTCTCAGTTCCTAATCTGAACAACGACAGATCCGCCCTTCGGTTCGAACTCCAGGGATGATCTTTGGGGAGTGGGTAAGAGCCAACAACAAGAAGGAAGAGTGGACACCAGCTGGCTGCAAGGGTGAACTTAACGACCTCTGTTTGGGCACTCTCAACACGAAAGAAAACTAGCTAGCACTGTTAAAGAGATTGTATTTTCTTGAAATCAAACCAAGCTGAAATTATTTTCAAGGTTTATTTTCAAGAAGGTGCAACCCCCCAATCTAAACATGTGAAGGCTGTCCTAAACAACCACGAGCCAGAGAGGAAAGGTTAACATCAGTCCCACGTTTATACACATGTGATCATGTGGCCATAAATAAAATAGAATTAACCTACAACTCTACTGAATCACTGAATGCTTAATTAAAAAAAACCTATACACACACGCATATATATATATATATATATATATATATATATATATATATATATATATATATATATATATATATATACTGTTATTAAAAATAGATGGAGACACGTGGAAAACATGCAAGACCAATAACAGCTATAGCAAAATGACTCCTCACATCTTGTAGTTACATTTTATTTAATTGTAGAGTAGCACATAAGCACTGTTACTGTGCTTCATCTACATATAAGTGGACTGACAGAATTGTGCATTCAACACAGTCAGATCACAACAGACAAATAGGAAATAGTGGCAGTAATTGCACTTTTTTCCCCATTCAGAATGTAAAGTAAGGATAAATAGGCAGCTCTAAATAAAAAATTGCCTCCAAAACATTTTTTGAAGCTGTGGTTATATGTTATTTGACAACATCTAATAGCAAATCAAATGGTGTAAGTTACACATAAAAAAACATGACATTCTCTTTGCAGTAGATCTGTATACTCACTCTAGTTTACGGTGGTTTTTATGTAATCAAAATAATGTGTCATGGCCGTATTATCCCATTTCCCACAGAGTGTTTTCCCTCCCGTGAATCACTGACAAACCTATAACGTTGATGATTAGCAGTCAAAAACACACAAAGCTGTAAGCGACTTTTAGTATATTATAATGCACTAATTTGATTACTAATGTCATCTTTTCGTGGTGATTTCTCCAAGCATCACCACACAACTCAATAACAATCCATATCGGGTCAGATCACTAAAAAGTAAGCGTGAGCAAAACCAGCTTTAAATTGAGATAAACCGAACATGCAGAAAGTGAATCGCTTTCACGATTACTAAAGGATAAACATCACGCTGTCCAACAACCATTTAGGACGCCAGTTTAACTAGAAAAGACAAAAATGCACCGTACTACATCGTCAGCATCGTCATATCTAAAAATGATGCTAACATGAGATTTAGCCTAATTTAAGGTTATTTGTGAGCGACAGGTTACGAATAGACAAGCGAACATTATGAATGAATTGAGAATACTGATTCACCACCGCAGCATTTAAAGAAGTACGGTCAGGATAATGCTTGACTGACGGTGGCTAACTCAGCTAGCCGGGGTTAGCATGCTCAAGGTAGCATTAGCAGCAGCAATCTCAGTGACAGAGGGCGGACAGATGGCAACGTTGCATGGAACAAAACAGCCCGGATAACAACCGTTACATGGTTCCTACAACCCCGAGCTGAGCCACACCACAAGTCTCGTCACTGCCTGTTCATTCCACTAGAGTCACCGAGCCTAACCAACGAGCTTATATTGTACTGGTCAACCGCGTTTTTGCGCCGCAGAACCAGGTTGAGCAGCGCGGTAGATCGAGCAAAGCAGCCGAGAACACAAGCGACCGAGGCGGGCTGCGCTCCGCCTTTTTAACCGTTTGGAACCAAACGTCTCTACGGGAAAATCCCAACACATACCGATTTATTCGCAGGAGCGATAGGAGATCCTGCCAGTTTAAAACAACGGGTGTGCTTGTTGGTGCCTTTTCTTACCTGTTACCGATGAATAGTGATAAATCGTGTCCTCCTCTGCAGCTCTCTTTCCCCTCCTAGCTCCAAAATGGCGCCAACATGCATAGATTCAGAGCCCATGGGTACAACCCATCCGTGAGTGAGCAGCGCCACCTATAGACGAGTCCACGCAAGTCGTTCTGCTTATATCATGTTTGAATTCAGATTTTTGTAAAATAAAACTGTTTATGAATGGTTTTATAAACAACTCAAACCTTACCTTGTTTAGTGTTTGGGTGTGTAAAAATGATGAAATATTTTATTGAATAAAAGCAACTGCACATTATTTAAATAAGAATACATAGTTTCCTAAAATGTTCAATAGTTTATTATATTTTTCATCAATCTGTTTATTTTCAGGAGCGCAAAGATGAGCGAAAACCTAAAATTGTACAAAAGATTGTGTATAAATACACTAATAAACCATAGTAGTTTGCCTCGCCTCTGTCAGTGCGCCCCAGGGCAGCTGTGGCTACATTGTAGCTCATCCCCACCAGTGTGTGAATGGATGAACTGTAGTGTAAAGCGCTTTGAAGTCCTTACTGTGAGAGGCGCTATAAGTGCGGGTTGTTTATCATTTAGTTGAACCAAAGTTTTTTATTATTATTCTTTTGAATAAATATAGCTTCGGAAAACAAACACATGTTTTCATTGGTGCAATATATATGTTGCTACTGGTTATTTTCTAAAATCACATTTTAAAAATAACCCTTTATGCATCCTGTAACATTTATTTTCCTTTTCATAAGTTTATTGGCTACTTCTATTATAATAAACATCTGTTTTGTTATTGCTTTTAATTTAATAAAAATTAATTTAGAATATTCTACAGAGATTCATTTTCCAACATATTTTCAATGTGTCAAATGGAAGGTGTTTTACAGATGGTTTTGTCTTTTTCATAGTTTTATGGACAGTGTGAACTATAGGGGGCGCTCCAATACAACGTTTCTGATTTACAGACATTTGAGCCTAAATCGAGGCTGCGCAGTGGTTAGAGCTGTTGCCTTGCAGCGAGAATGTCCTGGGTTCGCTTCCCGGCCTGGGATCTTTCTGCATGGAGTTTGAATGTTCTCCATGTGCATGCGTGGGTTCTCTCCGGGTACTCCGGCTTCCTCCCACTGTCCAAAAACATGACTGTTAGGTTAATTGGTCTGTCTAAATTGCCCCAGGTGTGAGTGTGTGTGTGTGCATGATTGTTTGCCCTATGTGTCTCTGTGTTGCCCTGCGATGGACTGGCTCTCTGTCCAGGGTGTACCCCGCCTGATTGCCGATTGCCCGCTGGAGATTCCCACCCCCTCCCCCGGCGACCCCACAAGGGCAAGCGGGTTCAGAAAATGAATGGATGAACCTACATCCTTTTGAAAATTTTAAATTACTTATGTCAGAATTACACAGATTTTGTAAAAGCTGCAAAAAGTTTAAAGGTTACCAATGAACATCAGAGACATATAATTTAAAAATATATATCTGAAATTATTGTTAAATAATTACTAAATTATGTATTTTGTGTGTTTAATTAGAACCTGCACACCTGGGTGTCAATTAACCAATTAAAGTGGCTTGATGGTAACTGCATAAATTCTAAAAGGAGGTGCTTGGATCGGTTTCTTGGCTCTAGGATGGAGGGGTTCCTGCACACGTTTCCGCCCTATAACGCCTATGGGAACCCGGTGTGCGCTCCCCCGGCTCAGGGCAGCAGCTGGGGGAAGAGAGAGGGCCGCTTCATGATCCCTCCGGGCCTCAGCTACCTGGAGCTCTGCAAGACCATCCTGTCCCAGGTCAGTCCCGGCGCACACCCTCCTCCCCCAGCCAGAAAGGAAAACACCAAAGAGTGCGGCGTGCAGGTGAACGCCAAAGTGGATAAAATAGTCCAGTGTTCCTTGGGTCCCAAAACGCTGCTGGTCGACGAGCACCTCGAGAGTCCTGGTCAGGTCAAACCGGAGGAAAAGACGAAGCCCCACACGCCGCCGGTGAGCAACCTGCGCTTCCGGAGACCCGTGTCCATCTATTCGCCGGTGTTCGACCGCAGGGCTTTCATGAAAAGTCTCAGCGACGACTGTGAAAAAGAAGAGGCTGAAGCTTCAGAGCAAGACCAGTCTGAAGCAGAAACGGATCACAGTGGCGAGGACTTTGAAAGGGACCAGAAGACCACTTTCCACCGCTCCAACAAGGACTCCAACTTCCAGGTGAGTCGGTCTCTGATACAGGGCGTGTTAGGAATACACTGTAAAAAATAAAAACATTGTATTGCCAAGTGGGCTATAATCGCTTTCAATAATCAACTCTGATAGTAGCTTCTATGTCGAAACTTTGGTTCACTTTGTTAGCACTCCTTACTGAATTTGCTCCGGCCTTCCTCAATCATTAACGCTTTACCTGAACCCCGTTGTATTATGTTTGTAAGTGGATGAGTTAACTATTAAACACTGAAGCATTTAGGCACTTTACAATAAGAGCATAACCCTAGCCTAGAAATCTAGACAGACCATCGGGAGCTCAAGTCCCCCACCTCTCCAGTTGGTCCATGGGTCCTCGGAACAAAGAAAAATGTAATGGAAGGGAATGTATAAAAATTATTTTCTAATCTGCTTTGCCTTACACCCTGAATCACACATTTTATACTTAAATTTAAATGGAATATAATGATTTCAGCAATGTCTGTCACATAAATTGTGATAAACAAGCTTAGTAAGACTTTTAGTAATTTAGTTAATTAGTAAGACTACAAATTAGATAGTGTGTCACCGCAAAATCTTTATTCCCTCAGCATAGCTGTTACCACATGGGCAGATTTAGTGGTTTTCTTCATGTTTAATGCTCCTTCGTTTCTGGAAGAAGACTTCAAAGCTCACAAAATATTCTTCTACTCTTCTCCGTGTCTGGTTTGCTGTTAATTTGGTGAGACGAACATTTGAAGTCCTATCTTAAAAACACAAAGTACCTTTAGTCGCTAATCGAAAAATAAACGCTTTCTTGGCATCAATTTGTCTTTAAAATGTACAAACATCATATGTGAATTCCATGGTGCATTTAAAACAAGATCAGGAAATAACTTGACTTCGCTAAATCTCGGGCGCGGCGTGGCGCGTCCAACTTCGGTGTGCCCCAGGCTTTAGGCTCCCTACATACATGAATGGGAGTCGAGTCTTAAATCTGTAAAACTAGACTCAAACAAAAGGGACATAGATCAGTCAATTTTGCCAAATTTGTTCCTACATAAATCCAAAAAAATGAATAGCATTTTGTATTTTAGTTCCTGGAGCAGAGGTATGGATTTTTCCACTGTAAGAAGTGCAACATCCGGTGGGAGAGTGCTTATGTTTGGTGCATCTCTGGAACCAGTAAGGTAAATGCTCGTTTACATTCTCTAGAAAACGAAACGTTAACTCGCTGGTAATTTTATTAGGTACACCTTGCTACCTGGTTGGACTGCCTTTTGCCTTCAGAACTACCTTAATACCTGAGAATCAGTTGCTCCACTTCTCAGATTCTGGATTGGACTGAGATCAGTAATTCTAGTATATCAACAGTCTCTGAAATCTTCAGACTAGCTCGTCTGGCACACCTAAATGCATTTAGCTCCTTTCAAGGTGTACCTAATAGTGTTTGAGTGCATACAATCTCCGCATTTGCAAAAGATCGGAGTCCTTTTTATCCTCAGGTGTACTACAAGCAGCTCTGCCGGAAGTGCCAGGTGGGGTTTAACCCCTACAGGGTGGAGTCTATCCTCTGCAAGGTACGTCAGCCAAACCTGTGATGCATCTGGACTTCATATGATTAAATTTGGCCTCTTATCCATTTAAGTGTTTCCTTCATTTGCAGGGTTGCTCTCAGACTTGCTGCATCTGTGAGAAGAAACAGAGGCACATTAACATGAAGAGGCCTCATCGTCAGGACTTGTGTTGCCGCTGCAAAGGGATGAGGTTGTCCTGTGACGCCACCTATAGCTTTAAATACATCGTCTGAGCTGCTCAGCCTGATTGTGTCCTTGTGTCCTCTTGGTGGTCTGAGGCCACACTGATGGAGCCAGACTTGCTGAAGTGAAGATGTCCAAAAACCAAGCTGCCTCCATAGACTTGTCACTTACGTTCCAACCATTACCCTTTGTCTGTGGTGGTTTTTGTAGCGGTTTCTAAAAATGTAATTTCTCAATCCACTGATGCAGAAATATTTTTGTAAAAAGAATAAAATTTATGAATTGCACTTTAAGCTTTAGTTTTTGAAGACTACTTTAATGCCGTTTCTAGAGATTTATCATTGACGCATGCTGTGTGCATGGTTCAACCAGATGAGCAGCTCAAAGGCGCCGCATCCTTCTGGTTTCTGATGACATTTTAGCAGAAACTAAAAAACAAAACCAGTTGCAGTTGGGCAGCAATGCCACAATCTGAGGCCTCTACACTCAGCTGTTTCTGCTTCGCTGTTAGGAAAGTCTGCAAGGTGTAAAGTGTGTCTGTACACATTAAAGTACAAGCTGTGTCTGGTTCATACTGCAGTTGGCTAAAATTGAAGTGCAGAAGAATAAAGTTTAAATGTAAGACTAGTCAGTTTTTGCTTGCTTTTAGCACCTCCTAGTGTCAGTTTAGTAGAACCAAAAGCAAAACTTACCCACAAGGATTTAACACCTGTAATCTGAAAGGTCTCACCAGCCTTAAGTGTCACAGGAGTGATTCATCACTAAATTAAACAAATGAGCTGTGTAGATCTGATCTTTGACTAAATGTTTCATTAGAAATTCAATCTTGTTATGAACACTCAGTGCATTGTGTGTTTAATTTGTGGAAAAACCCATTTCCAAGTAAATATTTGAAGTTATCTGAAAAGCATGAACGTAGAGGCTTTTTCCTGCAACTTGGATTAAAAATGAATTTTAAAAGATGTGGTTCACTCAAGACATTTTGTAATAGTTTCATCACTGAAGCGTTTCATGTAGGCTGAGCATGAAAACCGTCTCCTACACCTATCTCCTGCATTAGCATCTGATGGAAAATAAGACTGAATCTTTAGGATTAGAAAATCCTGACAGATCTACATCACACTTAACATTAATGAACTCACCATGCTGACTCACGACGGGGAGGGCTGTTGGTTTAGCGTCCAGAAAACTGCAGAGAAACGTCTCAGCTAGCAGAAGCTAACTGTTAGCATTGACAACTTAACCACAAAGCAGAACTTCTTCTGGCTTATGTTATTTGTGGAAATAAAACTTCAATATTGCAAAGCAGAGTTAGTGGTAGTTGTGTTGCTGTTCAGAGATGAGATGTCCAACTATCGTCCGAAGCTACTTTCTCCTCCAGCTGACTTGCACTTCCTCAGGTTCACCAGAATGACTTGCAAGGCATTTGTTCCTACCAGAGACCACTGCTAACACATTGAATAAACAAGTGAACCACACCTTTCAAATTTAGTTTTTCTTTACCATTGAGGAAAAAAAGTATATCTTTAGCATAAAAAAAAATCAAAAGTAGATTTTGATATGTCTTTTACTTGGACACAATTTTATACAGCGCTCCAACTCAAAACAACTTCACAAAAGCTGTAAAACTATTTACACAGTGGAAAAACAACAACTATCATCTAAAAAGCTTGAAAAATGTGCAATTTCTTGTAAGGCATGCAAACATGTTCTCCCACTCACAGAAAAACAAAACGACCACACGAGTTCGAAGCTCCTTTTTGTACCTCATTCAAACTCGTCTTTCAGGTAAAACATGATTTTGATAATAAATAGTTCAAACACCCCATACGCAACACTGAAAATGCATGCATGGCAGTTTGATTTGAGAGAACAAACATCAATATCAAAAATCAGTGTTCAGCAAACAGGTGACCAGATCTATACAGTAAAGAAGAAAACCAACGACAGGAAGCGTCCAACTTCAATACAGACTTCGTCTCGACGTAGAAAAGTGCTGAATGTCAGCATTTCCCTTACGCGCCGCTACAAAACTACACAAACATCTGCCTCTATGGTTCTGTGACTATTGACAGCTTACTGACAGACAGCGTGTGTGTTCTCCGTCCTCCTGGCGTGTGAACACAGTCGATATGTAACAGTACAACAGTGATAAATATAGGGTGCACACTCACTAATGGTGCTACAGCTAGCCAGAGAGGGTGTGCATGCCGTGCACAGATAAAGGCATAAATAGTCTGCCAGTGTTGAGATGGTTCACTGATACAGAGAAGGAACCAGGCAGGAGTCCTTCAGTCAGCCTGGGATAAGGCTGTTAGGGGTCAGTAGCACTTAACTGGGTCATGCATTGCACATTTTCTTCAAGAGCAGGTCCCGGAACAGCAGCAGAGAAAAGTCAGCAGTTCCTTTTCTGTTATTAAAAAGTGACCCTGTCAAAAGCCCCCCACCCCAATTTGGTGCAATAAAGGAAACATTTCCAGTGATGCTACACAACGTCACAAGTAGTCTCCTGGCTGGCTCTGGTGAGTCCATCAAGAGGCGACCATCAGGAAGCTAGACATCTTCACTAGGTAATCACGGCCACCAGGTATGAGCACATAGAACATTTTTACAACACGTCAAGGTAGTGCTCAGGTGGAATCACATCTGGTGTTTATCTGTAGAATTGAGTCAGGTCAAGGATTTCTCCAGTTGTGTGAAAAATCTTTAGGTTTGTCTCATTTTTCTTAGTTCCACAGATCGGATGGTTAATTAGTATTTGGATCCACAAAAATGTCATCGTCTCAGATCTGGACGTCTGATGGTTCGGTACTCAGGAGCCCTCCTGCTTTCAGAAGGGGTGTGGCAGCTTGCCCCACCTTCCCCAGGTAGCGCGACAAGGGCGTGGCCTCCCCAGTGGGGGAGCAGCAACACGCCCACGCTGCAGCATCTTCTGGGCCGGTGGTGCAGGGAAGGGAAAGCAGTGAAGACGGAACATGGTCTGGCTGCAGCGCTGACGGTGAGTTCGGGTGCTTGTATGGAGAGTGGGGGAAATGGGGAATATGTGAGCCCTGAGAAATAACAGGTGATGCGGCGTTTGAGAGCAAGGTGGGCTCTGAGGCGATGGTGGGGAGCGTGCTATGGGGTGGTTTTAGGTTTTTGTAGCTGCACAGCTGCGATGAAGGAGGCTTGTGTGCTCTGAAAGGACAATAAAGGCTAGTGTCTCTGAAGTGACTCCTCCTAGGTTGTCTCGTTTGGGCTGGAGGGAAGTCCAGCTGTGTGAGATGAGAGGTATGAGATGAGAGCAGGTCTGGACCTTTAGAGGCATCAGTGTTCACAGTGGGTGATGGTGAAAACTGCAGGGGAAGGTCCCAGTTTAAGACAGCTTCTAGTTTTAGTGTTGGGAGGGGCGGTGCAGCCGCGGCAGCAGATACGTAGGAGGGGGGAGGGGCCACGTGTGTGGCTGCTGTGGCTCCTCTGTGTGAGCCAGCTGAAATGTCAGAGAGGGATGTGGAGATGCTCTTGGGAGGGTGAATGGTTGCGCGGGTGGGGGAGGAGGCGGAGGAGGGGGGCTCCTGAGATCCTGTCAGAGGCTTGTCCCGGAGGCGCTGGAGTCGGGGAGGTAAGTTGTGACCACCCGGTAACCCTGGGCGCGGCGGATCATGTCTCGGATCTCCCCGTTGAGCTCCAGCAGCTTGGAGCAGATCAGGCTGAGGTCCTGGCGAGAGCCGACCAGGGCGATGGTGCCCGTCTGACCCAGAGTTTGGTGACGGAAGTAGATGTTGAGCAGCGTCTGGACCTCGCTCTCCGAGCTGCCGCCAAACACCCCACAGGGCCACTGCGTCCTGAAGAGAAGACCACAGAAAACGTGACATGGTTGCTTTAGGAACAATCAGAAACCTTGGTTAAAAATGCAGAGAACTATTGAGCTGCTGAATTTTTTTTTCAACAAATGAAAAATTTGCCCCAAAAACAAAATGTCTTTTTTCAACATCTTGGCTAAAAACATTTTAGTGGGAACCCTTTTAGCGCATTAGAAAAGCCGATAAATCTGAAATAAAGTCATCTAGTCGTAATTAAAAGTTTCTCACCGGCACTCCTGGATGTAGCGCACAGCTTTGGTGAACTCGTGGCTCCTGAGGCACTCCAGTATGGCCTGCACGGCTGCTTCGGAGGACGCAAAGTTGGGCACGACTACTGCCGCCACCTGGGCAGCGTGTGCATGGATGTGGGCCAAGTGTTTATGCTCCAGGTCGCTGGCGACAGCTGCCTCTGCTGCCTGAAGGCTGGTCTTCAGATCTGTGAGCTCTCGAGACATGTTCAGCAGCTGAGAGGTGCAAAGGCAGCAGATGAGGATTTAGGTCATTACAGTAAGAATTTGACCACAAACAAAAGTATCATGACACAACAGCTCCGTTAGATAATTAGAGATGCTTTTATTGTGAAAGGTTTGGTTCACCTCAGGCACGGAGCTAATGGCGTGAACTTGACCAATGAGCGAGCAGTAGGACTGGAACAGCAGGAGGAGCTGGAAGTGCAGCTTGTAGAGCCTCTGGCAGAGCTCCAGTTGCTGCAAGAGGAAAACAAGGTGGGATGAATCCGCAGCCACACGTTCCCCATAGATTCACACAAACACACGGCTAGCTAGCTAGCTGACACGATGCAGCTAAGCAGATTATTTCAGACGAATCCAAGTCAGTGAAGTGAAGAAATTTGTAGAACTTACTGCGAGAGATTCCATTTGCTAGACAGCGAGAGAGCATGTTAGAGCGTCAGAGTGAGGCGAGAGAAAAACAGCACCAATCAAACACATGCAAAGGATTCAGGAAGTGAATTAGACAGTTTGAATTGAACTTTTTAGTGACCAGTAAGAGAAAAATCAAAAGAGGAAAACAGCAAACAGCCAAACATTTTATAGAAGGAACATTAGGTAGGTTATATTGTCATCTTTAGACCTGTGTAAACACGTCATCAGCCTGTACCTTCTCCTCTGAGTCTCCAGGTTGGCAGGTCACCACGTTGTCTCCGGGACACCTGGGAAATGTGTCTCTACAGTTCCTCAGCCACTGTGGTGAAATATCGTTCAGTCACGCATTCATAAGAAAAACAAAACATCTGAAGAGAAAAGGTTGAGTTACCGATACAGCAGCCTCCTCTCTGCTGTTGTAAGTGTCCAGGTACTCCTGAAGCTCCAGTGCACTGAACTTCATCTTCTCCAGGAGGCCGTAGGACATGATCTGTATAAAAACAAATAAAAATATGTTTTATGAAAGGTACACTTAGTAAGAATGACATCCTGTTGTCAGATTAGGTAACTGCAGTCCATCTTCCTAAGCTATAAAATCTGTTTCATGGCCGTTGCCAGTTATGGATCAGCGCCAGAAGACTTTAGATGACAGATGAAGACGACTGACACACATTAAGTTGATAAGTACATAAATTATTGTCATATCTAGTGTTGGCACTCTGGTATTTTACGGTAGGGAGCACTTACCACACTTACTACAGTAACATTTTTCCAGCATTAGAAGAATTGTGTTTGATTGCCATCTTGCCTTCCTGTTCTAGTTCTGAATGACTCATTAAAGGAAGTAAAATGTCACGGTTGACGCATTATTCACTTCACACACACAATTCACTGTAATATCAAGTTGTTGGTAACTAAAAAAATTGGTTTGAGATATTTTTAGTGTTGACTATTTGCTTCTACTTTACTGTTAGCACTGTTAGCTCAATGTTAGCCTCTAACATGCTACAATCAATATTAAAGTAAAACAAAAGGATGCTGTGGCTTCTTAGGGGTACAACAAAATAACTTTAGAGTCGCTCCAGTTTACTGGCTTTGGCCCTTCAAAAATCTTCTGGCAGTGTCAAATTATAAACGCCGGCGCTGCTGCGTTAGCTCGCTGCGTTAGCTCGCTGCGTTAGCTCGCTGCGTTAACTCGCTGCGTTAGCTCACTGCAAATTCAGCCACGTTACAAACTCACTGAGTGTAAACAGTGACTACGCTTTTGGTTTTTTTTTTTTTTGGAAAGGAGAAAAACTGACAACCTCATAGCCAGCTGAGAATGAAATTCGTTTACGTATAACCTTCCTCTCAACATGATTTAGACATCAGACTGTTTTGTGATTATTTATCTGTAGAATTCTTACATGTTGCTCCTTTAAACTTGATATAGAGATGTTTTAGTCAGCAACAAATCATAAAGTTTACCAGCGTCACTCACAGTGTCAGCATCAATGTAAATGGTTGGGCAGTCTGAGCATGTAGTCAGCATCTGGGAGGACCTGCGAAACTTTGATCCAATCCCCCTCAACCCCTCACCAAGGTAGGTGGCAACATCATTGGTCAAGGTGCAGAATTTACCCTGGATGTTCTGCAAAACAAAATTTGAGAAGAATTATCTAAACGGTAAATGAAAAAAACAAAACAAAAAAAAAACAAATTCCTACTGGACATGAGATCATTAAAAAAAGGTCTCAACCCCCCCGACAATCTAATAACCTTGAAGAGTGATGAGAAGACTTGGAAAGTGTAGACAGCACAAGAGCCATCGGAGTCTATCACCAGCTGGTTGACATGACAGCGCCACGCCTCCTCCGCATCGTCACACACCGTGGGTTGGAAAGCTGCCAAGATGGCGGAAAAAAATGGAGAGGGGGGAGGAGGAAACCCAAGGTCTTCTAAATCGTCGATTTCACCACGTAAGCTGGTAAATTTAAACAAACGAAATAATACAAATGTCAGTATTTACACAAGATGTTAGGATGTGTTTAGAAATGTTATTTAATAGGGAAAAGGTTCTAGGTTCTACCTGGGCAGACAGTTGGGGTCCAGAAAGTCCAGTGGGGGCTGGCAGTAATCAGCGTTCAGACCGCGGTCCAGATTAGCTAACTGATCTTGAGGTTGTCCCGGTAACTCCAGGGTGAAGCTCTCACCGCAGTCAGAGCCGTGAGGAAGCTCATTGGTGCCCAGGGACAGCTCGTCGTCTTGAGCATGAGTGTCCTCATCCTCGCCACACGTCCTCACCTGAGGAGACAATAGACATCACATGACCTCACACGTTCCAGGACAATAACTCATAAAAGTTGCTGCTGCGTTCACATGAATCCTCACATATAGGCCGCCGTGATCATCGGCGAGGACTCCCTGACCCGGTGTGGTGGCATTCAGAGACAGGGGGTCGGCTGACGTTTCATAAGACGTAGACAGAGAATCAGTGTGGTTGGTTTCCTCTGATGGGGAGGGGTTTGTCTGGAGCAAAATGAAAAACAACATTAGGTTTTAGTTTTTCATCAATGGATGTTTGAGTTAGACGAACGAAGGCTTCGCACAAGCTGGGAATGGGAGAGGCTCTGGCTCGTTGAAGACTCCTCTTCCTCTGAGGACTCGTATGAATCGTGGGGGTCCTCGTGACCCAAGCTGGGGGTGCTGCCTGAGTGCTGGCTCTCCTCCAGCATGTCGCCCAGCTCTGTGCTGTCCAGTGATCTCCGACGGACTCCCCAGTTAAAGTTATCAACACTCTCTCCCTGGACGAAACACAGAAAAGTGGATTTCATCACCATGAATGGTTTTAACCCTCAAAAAATGAAACATTTGCTGTTTACAAGCAACAAAACGAACTGCTACTAATGGCATGACAATATGCTGGAAAGCCATTCGTTTTTATGATTTATCCAACCAGGACTTAGCATGTAGCAGTCATGGCAAAAATGTAGTTCTGCAACCAAGATGTGAGCATGAAGCATTAAGTTTGAACTATTCCGGATGAAAAATGGGAGCCAGCAACACCACCGCGCTGATAAAAGCTGATGTTAGTGCTTAATTTGGGACAACTTACCTGGAGCTCCTGGGCAGCGAGAGCAGAGGGGAGAAAAAGACACAGAGTCAGACAGAGACAGAGACGAGGAGGGACAGAGAAATATCTTTCAGATGCATTGATGTTAAAGACAACTTCATTAAAACAGGAAGGAAAGAGGCAGACCCTTTGTTAAATTATACACAGAAGTCTCACCTCTCCATCCTCCAGCTCTACGTCCAGGAAGTCAAAGTCTCGGAAGACCCTGAACTGCTGCTCGCTGGCCGTGTCGTCAAGCGTGTCCTCTCTGGTTCCACCCTCCTCTGACGAGACGCCACTCTCCCGGACTTCCATCATGTCCAGGTCGCCACAGGACGAGAAAATCACCTGAGGAGGATTAGGGAAATGAAGCGTCCAGGATGAATTCATGTAAAAACAACCGTTTCTGTCGACGCTGCTGCTATGAGGACGTGAGCGGTCTTGTTTATAAAGATAGCTTACTGATGGGTTCTTGGTGAGTCCAACTTCTTGTCCACACAGAGACAAAACGTTCACCAGCTTCTCTCTGGTTCTTTTCTGCTTCGGTTAAAGATTGAAAACATCAACCATTAAAAACAAAAAGACATCACATTTATTCATATATTCATGTTTACATGACAGCTCATAAATGATGTTTTATTCTGTTTGTCTTTGAGTCCATGGTGCTTATTATTATTATTATTGTTTATCCCAGTTACATCCAAATAATTTATTTGGATTTGATTCAGTATAATATATATAAATAGTGAAAATTCACAACAAAACTAAAAAATATAAACAAACAACCTGAGACGATTGAGGGCGCCTCCAGCTGACGAGCACCAGGATGGTGTTGGAGTTTGATCCGGACGAGGTAGAGGAGGCGCTCCGTGTTACGGCCATGGCTCTGGCCTTCCCCTCCCTGCCCCCTGAACCCTGGAGCTCATCAAACTGACGCCCGATAACTGGCGTCTACAGAAAATTCAAATGCTGTTACCACAGATATCCAATCTGGACGTTTAGGTGGATATCAGGCTATTGGTAACACGTTGCTGGCCTCACCTCGGAAATGTCAAAGGTGAAATCCAGAGTTTTTCCAGGCAGAGCTTTAGATGACCCGTCCCACACTCTGCTCACCTCAAGGTTGGACAGATCACCTTGTGAGTGGCTGTAGACCGGATGGACCAGACTGGCAGAACGTGACACTACAAGCTTCAAGATGTTTAAAGCATCCTTCCAGTGAATGGTCTACAAAAATATGTCAAACGGCATAAAAGTTATCTCCAAGCATGAGAAAATAATAAATACAAGAAGAAATACCAAAAGGGCAAAGTGCTGTTGTTGGACACTCACTTGGACAAACTTCTCAATTGTCTTCAGGACATCAGCATTAAACTGTTTGACCTGAACAGCGGTCAGGTCCATGTGGCTGAGCAGACAGTAGATGATCTGAAGAAGCGGCAGCTGCATGCTGGGAATGCCTTTATCAAGCAGCTGGGACACGAGAGACACTTGATGAGAAATAATTGATGTATGATTTAGGTCAAAGCTGGGAAAAAAGGACGCAACGCACTCACCTCGGCCATGTAGGTGACCATGTTGAGTGTGATGTCGGAGAACGCTTCGTGGAGGTAGCGGCACACGACGCTGACCCAGGAGAATGGGTCTCGAGTGTATGAGCGTGTCTTATAGAGAGTCATCACATGGGCCAGGTGGGACAGCTTTGTGTTCTTCTCCACCAGACACACCTGAGTAAAGCAAAATGTTAACAGATTTATGAGCCACACACAGATGCTGTGTTCTTGTCTGTTTTTGCATTTAAAGATCCAAGTTCACTCTTTTTTTATTACACTTGCAGTGGTCTCTAGTATGCCTTGTGAGTCAGTCTCTGTGGGAAAAGAGCTCAGGCACTCCTGCTTCAGGAAGTAGAAGTTAGCCGGAGCAGAAGAAAGCAGAAAAAGGCGGGATTTGGAGTCTTACTCATTATTAGTTTTCTTATATTCAGACATCACACCTCTGATTGGCTAACAGCTCCACGACTCGACCACTGACTCCATTTGCTTTGCTACATTGATGTTTTATCCCCACAAATAACACGTCTGAAGGAGTTCTGCTGTGTGATGGAGTTGCTAATGCTAATGGTTAGTTTCTACGAGCCGAGAAGTTCTCTGCTATTTCCTGGACGCTGACCCAACAACAGCCTTCCCCGTCACGAGTCAAGATGGGCGAGTCCATGAGTGCAAATTTTGTTTAATTGTCAGGCTTTTCTAATACAAGCGTTTCCTCGTCGATTCTTTATCCGCGGCTAATGCAGGAATTAGGGGTAGAGGACTATTTTTTATTTCTAAATTAAGAATTAAAAAAACAGTTCCTGAGTCAACTCGGCCTTGAAACCCGTTGCCCCTTTTAAACTTTTCATAAAATATTTAAAAAAATCTGCTTTCCCCTCACGCTGTCTGCTCTGACAACCATGTCCTGAGACTATGAAAATGAAAGAACTTGAGGGACCAAATTACCTGTGCAATCCTCTCAGCACTTTCCTTACAAAACTGTGTCGGGTGGCTGAAGTTCTGCACCAGGTGAGGCAGCAGACACAGAACGTTCAGAGGAAAACCTGTAAAGCAAGGAGAAAAATGTTCAGCTAGCTTGAAAATGTTAGAGAATCCAACAGGACTAAAGGACTGGGATCCACCTATAGACTGCGAGCTGTCCACCACAGGCACACGGGAGACTGGTGTAAGTTGGCAGAAGAGTTGTAACGTCAGGTCAAAGGTCGTCTGGGAGGTAAAACCCTTCAACAGCAGCTGCTGAATGCCAGAGAACCCGCTCCATCTGAGCTGAGCCTGCAGTTTCTCCAGACGCTCGCGGTTTTCAGCTCTGTCCAGCGGCACCTAGCATAAAAAAAACGTAAATGCTATTAAAGGCTAAACTTGAGGCTAAATAGGAGACTACCTTTAACACTGATATCCTTCTGTTCTCATAGAGGCATCAAACACTTTACTCTCTTGTACCTTTGACAGTAATTTGTGAACAAGACGAAGTGACATCTGGTATTCAAACTCAAAGTCTGACTCCATGAGTGACACCGCCACCCAGAAGACTGTTGCCAGTATTGAATAAGGATGAGAGACGTGTGATGGATCTGACAGCACGCTGGGATCTATACGATTGGTCGAAGATGTGCAGGATCCTGGGGTCCTCGCTACTCGGGTGAGACCATGACTATTGAAGGCCTGAGGATTCAAAACGAGCATTTGGTTAGAAACACATATCACAATCCTCCCAAAAATGTATTAATCTGATCAAGAGTCCTTGTTTCTTGCCTGTATTCGATCTAGGGTGGCACTACGAGGAGGATCACTCAACAGGTTACCACACTCCCCAAACTTCTTGGGGACAGAATAAGAGCGCTGGTGGCGCTGTGACGAAAGACCACCAAATCCAGGTCCGGGAAAGTTCAGCTGACCTGTGCTCTTCCTGTTCATAAGTTTGTCACTAGTCACAAAGTCTGGTGAGGAGGTCCTATCCATCAAACAGTTACATCATTATTATTTATAATGCCACTGTATTCAATATATGAGGCTTGTATAATAATCTTCTTATATTAAAACAAAGCCCTACCTGGTAAGTGCTGCCATAAGGTCACTGTTTTTCATACACTCTGCCAGATTGACCACCACCGACTCCAGGGTCAGCAGCACCTCCATCACATAGCCCTGAAGCCCAGATGTGTTCAGTTATGCAGATGTGCTTCAAACATACTTAAAGTGGCAGTAGAACAATGGTTAAGAAGCGAGTGTCTGGCAAAGTGACTGACATCCTGGAACATGAATGCTTCAAGATGCTTAATTCTTCAAGACGTTAGCATTTGCTCTGGCTAATGTTAGTTTTACCATGGGCCTGCATTTGCAGTAGTTTGGGCTAGCATTAGCGTTAGCTCAGGCTAGTGTTAGTACTAGCTTGGGCTTGCATTAGCAGTAGCTTGAGCTAGCATTAGTATTAGCTCGGGCTGGCATTAGCAGTAGCTTGAGCTAGCATCAGTATTCACTCTGGCTTGCACTAGCAGTAGCTTGAGCTAGCATCAGTATTAGCTCTGGCTTGCATTAGCAGTAGCTTGAGCTAGCATTAGTATTAGCTCGGGCTGGCATTAGCAGTAGCTTGAGCTAGCATTAGTATTAGCTCGGGCTAGCATTAGCAGTACCTTGGGCCAGCATTAGTATTCACTCTGGCTTGCACTAGCAGTAGCTTGAGCTAGCATCAGTATTAGCTCTGGCTTGCATTAGCAGTAGCTTGAGATAGCATTAGTATTAGCTCGGGATAGCATTAGCGTTAGCTCAGGCTAGTGTTAGTACTAGCTTGGGCTTGCATTAGCAGTAGCTTGAGCTAGCATTAGTATTAGCTTGGGCTAGCATTAGCAGTAGCTTGAGCTAGCATTAGTATTAGCTTGGGCTAGCATTAGCAGTAGCTTGAGCTAGCATTAGTATTAGCTTGGGCTTGCATTAGCAGTAGCTTGAGCTAGCATTAGTATTAGCTTGGGCTTGCATTAGCAGTACCTTGGGCTATTTGGTTTCTCACCTGCACCTCATCCCCATGTTCTCCTATCACCTCAACAAGGCGAGACACCAAGTCAGAGACAGCGTGGTTGTTGATTGGCTGTTTGAGGGCTCTGAAGATCTGGAAGGAGCGCCCGGCATAATGACGCGAAGAGCTGCACAGAGCGGTCTGCAAGGCCACATCACTCAGCTGCTGTTCGAGGTGGAAGTCTGTTCAAAAAAATAATAAAATTAACAACATGTGCAATTTGTTTTTGAAGATGATCAAACAAAATGTATTATTATTATTTATTATTATTATTATTATTATTTAACATCAGTGGTTTCTCACCAGTTTTGGACTCCTTGAAAACAGAGACAACATGCCGCAAGAAGTTGGAAAGCTGCTCGGTGCTTTTGGAGTTGGGGTTCTTCGGTGTGATGTCTTCATGAGCCCACAACGGCCCAAAAGCTCTGAGCAAGAACAACACAGTACTCCAGGCACTGTATACCCACCACCAGTAGCACCACACACAAGTTACACAAGCACAGAACTGGGCACACACACCACACGTAGTTTACACCAACTCTCACACAGAACACTCATGTGTACCCATGTTAATACCTGGTTGAGAGAAATTCAATCAGTTTGTTGGTCTTCTCATCCGTCTCATTGGGAGCGTCTTCAAGATCCTCCAGATCGTCGGGCGTCACAAGGGGCAAGTTTCCAACACTGCCTGCAGTGCTCCCCCCACCCAGACTGGCAGAGGATGAGTTGGAGGTGGAACTGAGTCCAGAGTCCACCACTGGAGATGCCTGCCACTCCCGCAGGAAGTCAGACGCTTCTAAAGGAACCAAAAATGTCAATTATGAATATAATTCCTTTTATTTTCATCTCTTAACAGTTCAAAGTGTTCAAACAACTAAAATGTAGCAGATAAACGCTAACTACTGCTACTCACGTGACTGCTGGTACTCTGCGTGGTAGCTGGACTTGATCGTCAGGGTCTTGTTATCTTTAATTTCCCTCGTCAGCATCAAAACTGAAGCTATGACCTGGAAACACAAAATCTCATCAGTGTAAATGGATTTTCACAGCTCATAAATATTAAACTATGACTTAAAATAATAAGCTAAACTGGAATTATTATTATAGATTCTCATTCTAACCTGGAAGTTGTTGTTGCAGGAAAGAGCGATGAGGAGGTGGAGAAGGAGACGCTTGCTGTGTTCATAAACCTCTGGCCTGTAGTGGTCCAGACCTGGTAAAAAGGACAAATCGATAATAAAATACTACTACACCAACATGTAAAATCACACAAGCTGTGCATTTCTCACACTGCTTCAATCACACACATGTTAGTGTGAAGAAAGTACTTCCTGTTTCTTATCCAACATTTGTACGAACATCAGATCTTTTAGCTACTTCTCGTATTCGTGGCACATTAAAGATGAGATGATAGTGTGATTCAGGAGTTAAGGTGCTGAATCTCCTGAAAATCTAACAACACATTTATTGCACAGCTGGCAGGGCTACGGGAATGTGTGTGTAGTGAAAACAGTCCATTCAGGTCTACAGAGGGAAGTCTGCACACCTGACGGTGTTTTTGATCTTTTCAGGTCAAGTTTCCCAAAGTTCTTCTGAAGTTCCATCATTAAAAATATTAAAAACAGACGATTTGTGTAATAATTCTTTAAGTTTTCATATTATAGCTGTGTATGCACCTACCCAAGAAGAGGGCGTGCAGCAGCAGAGGCAGATGCAAAGCCCAGTCCTCCCTCACACTGTGGTCCACCACCATCTCAGTCATGAAGATCACAGCAATGTTGCACCTGAAGACAAACACAGAACAATCAGAAATGTGGAGCTGGTTTTAAAGCTCGATTGTGTTTGACTTTTGGTTCCTGCATGAATCAAACTAACAGAAAAAAGAAAACACACACCAAGAACTGGTTTTACGTCTAAAACTGACACAAAAATCTGCAGCAGGTTAAAGGAGGAAGTGATTTCATATCACTCTGTGAAAAACAATTAGGTCTGATACTTTATAAACTGGTTTGTGTTGTTTTGCTACTGCTAATCTGTCTTTGGTACTCAACATATTTCAAATAAAAACTCAAGATGCACAAGCTCCCTTCCTGGAAGCTCCACTACTACCTTATTCCCTTGGTCTGTTTGCATAAATACTTTAAAGAGAAGTAGAAAATTAAAGTGTTAAATCTGTTATATTCTATACATAGTAGAGACAAAAAAAGTTGTTTACAGTTTCTGATTATCTTAGAAACTGCAACAAGCTAAGTCGCATGGCTGTTCCAGGTCCAGGTCAGTAGGTGTACTAGTCTGTACCTATGCAAAGGACCTCTGGGAGTGATGGTCTCAGGAAGGTAGTCAACCAGAGGTGCCCAGCAGCCTCCATTAACAGGCATGGGTAAAGGCTGAGGCCGATTGGTCTCCAGGACACCTAATAGCCATCCAGCGTAGGGAGGGAGAGGGTCACCTGAAGAAAACACGCACAAAAATGCAACTTTTTAAAATTGCTTTCCCATGAACATTGCTTTATTTGTTTTTATTGTGATGTTTATCTTGTGATTTATGTCTAGAAATGTGTTTTAAAATTAGTTTTACTCACTTAAAATGAGTTAAACTGTCATGTAAACACACCAGACACATGACAATGCCTTCCCTTTAAACTCACTTGATTTAACGGCCAAAACTGTTTTAGAGGCATGTTATACAGTCTCTAGTACTTAAGTAAGCACTTTAAGTTTAACCTAATGTTATTTTGAGGGCTTTCACACTCAAATGTTTAGATGTTTATTTTCTAGAATAAAACTGGAATAGAATTTGGACTAAAAATTAAAATCTAACCAGAAAGTGTATTTTTTATATTGTTTTAGACTTTGACGTTGGTGTTAGCTTGACAGAAATATATTTAGCAGAAACGTTTTCATAGATTTCAGACTTCTAATTTACAGACCGGTTAAACACGGCTGTAAGAATATTTGATAAATATGTTGCATGAAAAGTACATTTAAATAATGTGCATTGAAATCCACACAAACCTTCACAGAACCCCCAACTGAGTTCTTGAGTAAGCTGTTTCTACAGCTAGTCAATCTGTTGTCATGGAAACTAGGGCCCAACCGATATATCAGCAGATATCAGTATCGGCTGTCAGCCAAAAAGACAGTCGATATGGCCGATATTGCGCTTCCTATCCAGCAGATGGCGCCACCTTTATGGACTCACGTTGTGTGGCTCTACTCCTTTGAACTTTGAACACAAATTATTGTTTTGGAACTTTTATTTAATTTATTCTTATTTATGTTTCTTATGTGCAATTATTTCCTGTCCAGGGTGAATAAGTTCACCAAGCTAACTTCCACACAGTGTTACGTTGTTACAAAGCACAAGTGTTACGTTTTATTTATTGCTGCATTTTTATTATTTTAATATTCTTACAGGGATCTTCTGTCCCTAAACGTGTGTGTGTTGTTATATTCCCCAGAGTTAGCCAAGTCAGAGAAAACATTTTGTAACCAGTTGTTTTAGCATAAAGTAACGGAAGGGAAGGCTTGCATTCACCTACATAAAAAACACTACACTGTATGTGAATTCACTTACGTTGTTTTATGCTAAACTAAGAAAACCAACTGCTGCCAGATCATCTTGGGCTGGTTATAAAATGCTTTTTCTGACTTGTCTAACTCTGGGGAATCTTAACAAGACATAATTTTACTGAGTGGTGGAATATTCCTTTAAGTTAATATGTATTTGTGGAAACCACAGTTTACAAGAAAACACTTGAATGTTAGATTTATGCTGTGACTGAGTTTGTGTTCTGTTGTTTTTGAGACCTGCTAAATAATAAATCTTATTTGCATTACTGGGAAACCCTAGTGAGTTATGGAGACGGTTCTTTGGTGTGTAATAGAGAAATAAGTTTGCATCTAAAAGGCAGAGAATGAAGGGTTTAAACTTAGGAAAAATTTTTATTTTATTTTTTTGTGAGGGAGATTTATCGGCCATATATCGGCTATCGGTCTTTGTTAAAAGTTTTATATCGGTATCGGTCCCCAAAAAAGCATATCGGTCGGGCCCTAATGGAAACCAAAGCTACTTACTTTTCTCGTCTTCATACGAGCCCCCAGAGCTGTTGCTGTAGCGAGACTCCAGCCTGTTGTGAGCTCTGCACCTGCTGAAACAAAACATGAACAAAAAAATTCTGTTTTCTGGTTTTTAAATGAGAGACAAAGAGCTTCAGATCATGCAGACTCCTAAACGATACGGTTGCCAGTGGAAGTAAAGTTATCACCACTAACCGATCTTCGTGCTCTCTGACCAGCTTGTTCTCGTCCGTCTCCAGCAGATTGTCCTGACCGGCCACCACGGTGTTGCTGCTGGAGGTGGTGCCTGCAGCGGACACAAACCAGACATTTCTGTCTAAAACATTCAGCCCAAAGGAGCATTAGTAGAATCTTGATGACATGGACATTTTCTACATCACCTGTCTGGGAGGTGGAGGCCTTATTGCTGGCAGCAAAGCGATAAAAGGGAGGATTGTCACAGTGCAGAACCACCGGGTTAACCGGGTCGGTTTGCTGCAGCTCGAACAGAAGCTCTTCCATTGTCTGGATGGTGTTGTTGCGACACAAGTAGATCACCACCTTTTTAATCTGAAACAACACAGATGATTAGGAGGATTATTGTGTAGCTGCACCGTGGTCTAATATTAGAACATGACATCATTGTACACACATAGGGTAGCAGCGTGGTGTCGCTGCTGACACCACACAGGCTGATGAGGAACTGCAGGGTGATTCGCAGGTTGTTGCTCCACCTCTCGTTGGACACCAGAGCATTCCAGGCATTTTCGATCTCTGGTCCAGGAACCTCGTCTCCGTACTGAAAATGTAAACAAATAAATAAACACCTCTACTGAGGGCACATTCATGGGTGCACGAAAGCCTCCCACCTTAGCGGTCATGAACATGAGGTTGTTGAGCACCAGCGAGGTTGCCTGCAAGGAGCCCCAGCCGTTCCCCCTCAGACTGGGGGCCATGCCCTGAGCCTGACCACGGGTTTCCTCCTCGGGGGTGCAGGGACTTGATGCTGGCGGTAGGAGCCCGGTGTCTACTAGCTCGATGTTACTGAGCCAGGGCAGCAGGTAGGACAGCATGATCTGTCTGCCGTTGGGATGGGTGGTGGGGAACCGCTGACTCACCTCTACATAACAAATACATGTACAGTCAGCTCGCTTTTGCGATTTATCACCCATTTTTACTGCAGAAAGAGTTTTTATGTACACCTTAGGGTATTTCTTTATCTTTCAAATCAATGCAGTTGTTACTCAGTTTGACTCGTTTCCTTCACTCTCCAATCACAAACTTTCTATGGCAACCGTGTACACTGTTTTTAAAGCTATACATGTTTAAAATGGAAGACATACCTGAGAAAAGAGGCAGAGTGAGCTCCGGGTACATGCTGGCGAGCTGGATGGAGAGCTGTGATAGGTTGACGCTGTACAGAGGAGGCAGGGGCCCGTGGGTCCCGTATAAAATGTTTGCCGGTTTCTGCTCCACCATTCGCTTAGAGTATGCACACAATTTGGTCTCTAGCACCTGCACATTTATCATTACAGTCAGGTTTAGAATATTTATAGATGACAGATGAACAGTTAATACAAGAACCCAGATGTACCTGCATCAGCTGCATGGAGATCTCATATATTTCTCTGTTGCTGTCTGAGGCTTTGAACAGCACAAGATTCAGCAAAGTCACCAGGTCAAATGGGTAATTCCTGATCAAATAAAATAAAAACTAATTAGCTACAGGTGATGTTTGAAATCTATCAGTGAATATGATCAGATATGTGGAACCTGTGCTCCAGCAGTGTACATGCACAGAAAAGCCTCAGATGTGTGTATTTTACGTTAAAATATGACAGATTCGCGATAAAAATGACTTTTAATTGTTTTCTAACAGAGCTGTAAGCAGGGCAGGGCAGATCAAAGCTAATAAATGATTCCCAACCTGTTGCCACAGACTGTGGCGATGGCCTTGAAGCAGCCAGATGCCAGCTGGTGAGAACCAGTAAAGCAGCGATCCACCGCCCAGTTAAACAGGTTACTCTGGTCTGGGTTCAGCTCTAGGAGCAGGATGACCACCTCGCATCCTAAGCGGTGCACCTGATGACAAAACAGGTGGGCGGACAGTGATCGTAGATCTTTTGGGAAAAATCCAAATCACATGAAATGAAGACAACACCTCCCAGAACAACCTACCCGAATGTCGTGACAGGCTAGAATGTTGTCGAGCCATTTGTACAGGTAGCCATCAGTGGAGAGACCCACATTGTCAAAAACTGGACCGCAGCACAGAACTGCTGACATGGCCTGGACAACAAAAGCAGCATCATCGTTAAAATATCTACACATTTCCTAAAAGAAAGGCGAAGCTGCAGGATGTAGGTTCCACTCACCTTGAGGGCACAGTACTGATAGCGAGTGATCTGATGGTTGCGGTCGCTGTAGCGGTCGAGGGGAGTGAACATAACACTGAAGGGTCCCGCCCACTGGCTGAAGAGGATGAAGAGATGATGCCTCAGAGACTGCTGAGGGAAAAGGAATCGTCTGTTGTGGACTGCGGAACGGTCAGAGTCGACACAGACATGTTAGATATAATTGAGAAACTGATGTTTTATGTCTGAGCATGCAATAAGATTTTTTTTACCTGGAATGCACTGGATGAGATTAGCCACCATCCCACTGAAATGGGCTCTGATGTCTTTGAGCACATCCAGCTCCTTCTCATTCTCAGCTTCCAGAAGCATCCGGGTGAGATCCACGTATTCAAGGAACAAAGCGCCCAGCGCCAGAGAGTCACGCTCCAGAGCCCCGTTGGTGCTGCAGAGGAAGAAACACACACCAGATGTGAAGAATCAAAGAAAATAAGAGAAGAGTGTGTATACTAAAGCTGGGGTACAAAGTTTTAAATGTTTAAATCAACTTTAAAATTGGCTTTAAGCTGATAAACTGACCCTGTTCTACGATATAATAAAGGTAATCTTTTACAACATATTTCCTCTAAGTCTCTCCCCTGGCCTCTATGGCTAAATGAATCATTTACTCAAGTCTGGAGCATTAACCAGTAGAGTTGTGTAGCCACAAGAGGGAGCTGTCGATCTAAATTTTTAGTGTAGCGCTCAACCTTTACGCTACGTTGGACTATCGTTAAGCCTGTTGTAGCATTAGTAGGGGTAAGCTAGAATCGTGAGTGCCAGATTACTGCTGGTTTTAGAGGTTTCCCTGCTTGAACGCAAAATAATTTATCAAAAGGAGTGATTAGCAGCTCCTGCAGAACCCGATGAAGGCTGAGGAGATAATTCAGCTGTTAGAATCAGGTGTGTATAAGCAGAAACATGGCTCTTCGTTCGCGTTACAAGGCTATTTGTGTACGCAGTTTGAGGCGTGGCTTTTAGATTTCAAGGGGAGGGGAGCAGGGGTGGGAGCTATAGTCATTCCGATTTCAAAATCTCCTCCTCTCCTTGATGACATCATGCCATGGATCCCAGATTTAGGAAGAAAACACTTCAAATAAAATAGAAACACTCCATGTGATTAGGGCTGCAACAAACGATTATTTGGATAGTCGATGAATCGTATGGGGTCTCGACACGATTAATCGATTAATCGGATTACATGGGGAAATTTTTAAAAACTGCTAGGGAAACGTTATTTCTCTCATTCCTTCACTTTATTTAACACAACATTATTAGAAAACAGTTCAATAGCAGAAAAACAACATGCCATCACCTAAATTGTCTTATAAGGTGTATAGACAGAGACCCTAAGCTACACCTATCTGTGACCTAAAATGCTTGGTCCAAGTTAAACAGCTTAAGGGCAATTCTCATCTGTTTTGTTTGATCTCATCTGTAGACATTTATTATAACTGGGGATGTCAAACAACTAATTTTTAAATGTAATTAAACATAGGCTGTGAATTAATCAAAATTAATCACTATTTCCAAAAATGACTGAATAAATACCAAATAAAACAAAAGTAAATGAATGCCATCCTCCTTGTGATGATGCCCTGGGCAACTGCCATAAAGTCACATCAAGAAATGCTGCTGATCATTCCAATGATCCCAAATAGACTCACATTAGGCCACATGAAAGCAACTGAACCCAAAAATATATTAACCAGTATATAACTGCACTCTCACACAACACGCCTGCAGCAACAGTTAGGACTCCTCCCTCCCTTTTAAAAGCGTTTTCGCTTCTGAGGACATTGTGGTTGTAAAACCACATGTTAGTCTGGCCCCGGTGTGATCAACCAGTTTCTGTGGGAATGTGACGGCGGAACCGGTTCGCAGCAGCGCAAGCCCCTACCCCTCCCCCCACCCATCCAATAGCGTCGCGCTTACGATTTTATAGACCTTTTTTTATGAGCTTAGGGCATGTCTAGCGTGTGTGATAATCCGGGGCTTGGGTGAATCACTTTTGAAAAGTTTTTAACTTACCCGGACACAGAGTTCTCCCCTTCCTCGCTGATGATTCTGACATGCTTGCGTTTAAGATGCTGCATCATCACTGCAGTACTCCCGTGCCATGCTAAGTCTGTCCTACAAACGTTGCAGGTAACGAATGTCTTCGCCTGATTTAACTGAAAATGCTCCCAAACTTTAGAAGTTTTTACTTTTTTGGGTCTCGCTGCTTCTGCCATGTTCCTCTTCCAAACACCTGCCGGCTCTCCCTCGCACTGATCTGACTTGCTTTGGTCTGCGCGCAACGGCGGGCGGGAAGGGGGGGTGGGGGGGGGGGGTGTGGGGGTGGCAGGTGGCTTTGGAAGAGTTGTGCGACACAACGAATCGATGACGCAATTCGTCGCCAACGCTTTTAGTAATCGATTTTCATCGAATTTATCGATTCGTTGTTGCAGCCCTACATGTGATAACTTGTCTAGTTGAATAAATACAAAGAACAAGAGCCAATCAATACAGAGAGAATGCTGCGTGTGTGTGTGTGTGTGTGTGTGCTACCTGTCACTAATAACACCCGCACTCGCCAACAGTTCAAAGATCCTCAGCAGCTGCAGCCTCAGCAGATCCCTCCTCTCTCTGCGCTTCTTGTTCTAAAAGCAAAACAGATGTAGTTGCAGCGTCTGCGTGTTGCTATGTGAAGTGTGTGACAGACGTTCTGCAGAATATTGTCGGCTGATTTTGATGCTTTGTTAATTCAGGGTCAGATTAATTTTATACATGTCTAATTCCTGGGAGTTAATATATAATGTGAAACTATCCGCGTGTGTTGTCACTTGTTGCTTCACAGAGGATTTATTTTTACATCGGCCCACCCTGAAGCAATGCTTGTAATGATTTAGTCTTAGTATGCTGCTGTTTGTGTTTGTTACCTCAGGCCGACGCTCCAGTGCTTCTTTCATCAATGGATGGAGTTCTTCAACCAATTCCCTGTAAATCAGACAAAACAGAAAGCAGATTATGTTGCTGATGAACGGCCAAACATCAATATCATAAAAATTCTAGTTTCTTGAGAATAATGAAAAATACATTTCAAAAAAATATCCATCTGGTGCAACTCATTATCACATATCAGAGAACAAAGACAGCCTTTCTTTTCCAGAAAACACTCTTGAGTTATAAAAAGATTATTGTTTTAAAACGAAATACATTCCAAACACAATAGAATGTTTGTCCGTTGAAAAAAAGTTGCATCTTTTTCCCTCTAAGAATTCCTCTTTGACATAAGTATTTTTCCTTTTCTTGACTGAATCTGACAGAGGTATGCAACTTATTCAAGCTATGATGAGAATGTGGATGACGCATGCGGGGAGCACATCACTAAAAATCACTAATCAAGTCTTGAAACGTATTAAGCACATAGCCATTACCTGTCAATGCTAAGTGCTAATGCACACTGCAGATAAAGGCTTTCGAACAGATGCTATTTGAGTGTTTTATTGTGGGTGTGGCTTTGTGCATGTTTGCTTTCAAATACCTGAAAACGAGAGCATTTGTGCATCCGAACCCCAAAACAAGAGACTCTGTGATTTCTAGGCTCTCTGCTCTCATCAGAGGGACGAGTTGTTTTAATAGCCAGGCCACTGAAGGAGTGCCGATCACCTTTAACACAAACAAAAACACACACAGATAATATCATTACCATCATTAATTAATCCAAGAACTGAAAGAATTATGATCTGAAGCGAACAACTCTTAAAAACAATCCTGTATGCTCTAGTTTGATGAATTTGTTTCATTTCTTTATTTTTAATGATCTGGTGCTGAATGTTAATGCAACACTAAAAAGTTTTTTTTTAACATTTTAAAGTATTGCTTTCAAACTGGTTTCAATTATTCTTGAGCCAGAAACTTGAACAACCTGACATTGGACAGCACCCTGTAGCCCTCTGCTGACCACCAACTGCATCCAACAGTTTTGTGGCTCAGCTTAGGAACACTAGTTTATGTATGTTTATGTATTTAGCAGACGCTTTTGTCCAAAGCGACTTACAAGTGATAATCAGCATGTTGCCCTTGAGGCTAACAACAACAATAACAAAAACAACTTGACATCAGTCATGGAGAGTAGAGAACAAGGAGTGGACAGTAGAGAGGGGGGATGAGTGCAGGGAAGGTGCTAGTTAAGAAGATGCTCTCTGAAGAGCAGGGTCTTCAGGAGTTTCTTGAAAATTGAAAAGGAAGCCCCTGTTCTTGTAGTGCTTGGAAGGTCATTCCACATTTGTGGAACGATGCTTGAGAAGAGTCTGGATTGTCCTGAGCGTGGTGTAGGCGCTGCTAGCCGACGATCCTGTGATGACCGGAGCGGCTGGGCCGAGACGTAAGCCTTTGCAAGAGGATTCAGGTAGATGGGAGCCGCACCATCTCGGACTTTGTATGCCAGTGTTAGCAATTTGAATTTGATGCGTGCTGCTAGCGGTAGCCAGTGGAGCTCAATGAACAGAGGGGTGACGTGTGCTCTTTTTGGCTGATTGAAGACCAGACGCGCCGCTGGGTTCTGGACCATTTGAAGAGGTCTCACAGTACAGGCTGGAAGACCAGTTAGAAGGGCATTGCAGTAATCGAGGCGGGAGATGACAGTAGATTGCACCAGGAGCTGGGTGGCATGTTGTGTTAGGTATGGTCTGATTTTTCGTATGTTATACAGCGCAAAGCAGCATGAACGAGCAACAGAAGTAACATGATCTTTAAAGGTCAGGTGTTCATCAATCACATCACCCAGATTTCGAACTGCGTTTGAAGGAGCCAGAGATAGGAAGTCATTTTGGATTGAGATATTGTGCTGTATGGATGGTTTTGCTGGGATGACAAGTAGTTCAGTTTTAGAGAGGTTGAGTTGGAGATGATGGGATTTCATCCATTTTGATATGTCAGAGAGACAGTTTGATATTCGTGCAGAGGCAGTGTGGTCGTCCGGTGGAAATGACAGATAGAGCTGGGTGTCGTCTGCATAGCAGTGGTAGGAGAAGCCATGTGATCGAATAATCTCACTCAGTGAGGTGGTGTATATGGCAAAGAGAAGACGTCCTAGTACTGAGCCCTGGGGGACTCCTGTGGCAAAATGGTGCACGGTAGAGGATTGTCCAAGCCAAGATACACTGAATGATCGTCCTGTGAGGTACGATTCAAACCAGGCGTGTGCTTTCTCTGTGATGCCCATGCTAGAGAGTGTGGACAAAAGGAAGCCATGGTTGACAGTGTCAAATGCAGCCGATAAGTCGAGCAGGATAAGCACTGAGGATTTGGCAGTCACTCTAGCTTCTTTTAAGGATTCCGTCACTGCTAACAGAGCAGTTTCAGTGGAGTGGCCCTTTTTGAACCCAGATTAGTAAGGGTCAAGCACTAGTGGGAGCTCTCTACCTGCTTTATGGCTTTACTGTGCCAGTAGCTAACATAAAGGCTAACAGTTAGCTTTTTCATTTTGCCGACATTGAGTAAAAAGCACAAGAAGAAAAAGAAGGTGTGTGTTTTTTATTTTTTGGCATCATGGCAGAGTCTGGAATGTCTTTTGGAGGTTACGCAAAGAGCTAAAACCAGAGTGAACACTGATGCAATCTACACTAGTTTGAGAGAGCTAAAGGAGTCAGCAAACGCATGGAATGATGGTGACCTGGCTTTGTTGCTACTGGACTTGTAAGTAGTAATATTTTTTGTCCAACAGTGTGGATCTTTTTACTTCATGGTTTATTTTAGTATTAGTTGGCTCATGTTAGTGTTAGCGTTAGCTACAGCAGGCTGTGGCAGGGTTGTTTACGACAGTTGTAAACTCTGCTTTCAACCAGAAAGTGTGGTTTTAGGGTAGTCTGATATTGGAAAACAGCTTTTTTACCTAAACTTTCGGAAATGTCATAAAAGAATGACCATAAGTACTGTGACTACTTATCTATGCCATCGCTAATTCACTTCATAATAGGGAACATGGAGCACCCACCTTGTTGTCATAAGTGACACTCCCATCAGGTGTTGTGGCTGTGATTTCAGGCGTGGAAGCCCGGAGGTGACCTGGTGACATGATGCTCGGCTTTGCCACACCCAGACATAAAATCAGGTAGTTACGCCACAGCGAAACGTAGAGGTCGCTGGAGCTTGCTGTACTGGTCTTCTTTGCATTCACTGGACTGCTGCAGAAGAAAGAATCGAGGGAATTCAGTCCAAACTTTTAATTGTCTGTGCTTAACTTGTTTTTGGCACTTGGGTGTCTTTGTACTTAGGGTCAACCAGGGGCAGCAGCAGCTGCAGCCGTGTGAAAACGTAGGGCCAGGCGTATCCTAGAGCGGTGGAGCAGTGTTTGGGCAAGTGCTCCTGTCGTAGGAAGATGTGCAGACAGAGCACCCATGGGTCCTTCACACACTGAGCGAAGATCCAGACGTGGCTGGGGCTCTTCACGTCGTATGAGCTGCTCACCAGCCGAGCGGTCCACTCCACCAGCCACTGAAGGTCAACGTGGTGGCTGAGGGGCAATGTGGACTAAAGGGGAATATAAAGCTGCATTAATGGATGTAATCATGTGTTGTTCTGATTGTGGCTTGTTCATTTTACTCAACACTCACAGAGTCAGAGACAGCCACATGAACAAAGTTGTCCATTACAGCTGGGCTCAGCTGGTCCATGACCTCTATCATGGGTTTGTCATCATCCTGCAGGGTGTGACGTTCACAGAATCAGCTGTTTTCATAAAAGCGTGACATGATGTGAAAGATCTCTGGCTGCAGTTGCTGCATCTCTGATCTATTCACCAATCAGATTAATCTCCTTCCATCCCTGCTCTTTTAAGCTCTTCTCTCACCAGCGTTTGTCACTGATCTTAATATTTATCCACCTTGATAATAAATCACAATTGAAACTTCACTCTTATTTTGTTGAGTTAAGGTGTTCTTCATGGTACCTCGGCATGCCCCAGAGCAGTAAAAAGGCAGCGGATTTCTCTTAACACGCTGACAGCCAGCTTCCTGGTGCTGATCTGACACGAGCAGAGGAGCAGCAGCGCCAGGCCCTCGACGGCGTGGAGCACCGAGCAATGAGGGCTTCGCTCTGGCATACGAGGGCTGCTCTGTTAAACAACAAAAACAGAGCAGATTACACACGTTCTGACAGGTTACAGGCAGTTCACCTTACTAACACACTCTGAAGTAAAAAAAAATTCTTGACACGTTTTAAATATGTATTAGTTCATGCGGCTTGACTAACCTCGACTCCACCGCGCATCTTCCCCTGGAGCTGCAGAGCTAGCCTCCACTGTCCAAGCAACTGGAGGAGGAGCTTCACAGATGCGTCCTGCAGACCCTGATGAGTGTCTTGAACCTGTAAGAGTTTGAAAATGAACATTTATGAAACCGGAAATGTCCAAACATTAGCATGTAATAAGTTACAGGAAAGGATAGTGTTTAATAAGAACTATAAAGTGCTTTTGACAGTTTAGCAAATAAGAGACAACCCAACACACTATGAAAGGTTCAATAAGGCCGGGGGGTTGTGTTTACCTCACGCAGAAGGAAATGCGTATAACCAAACAACACGTCTTCCCTCCAGTCAGAGAAATCAAGTAACAGGCTCTGCAGGGAATTCTGGGAAATAAGACGAAGCTCATCGTCCATGTGGACCGTAAGTCTGGGGAAAAGAGAAGAACGCAAAAATGAGTAAAAACCAGATGAACATTTACGAGTTTAAAAAAAATATTTGTGAGAAACAAACTGAGTCGATCCGAGACTCACCGCGAAAGCAAGTCAATGAGCTCTGGTTTGGACATGCTATCAGGAAGAATCCGAGGGATGGCAGCCACACACGTCCTGAACAAGTCGATTTTGGGCTTCCGTTCTCCTCTAACAAAGATGGAGAGGTCCATCAGGCCTATTTAGGTCTATTAGCCACAAACAATAGATCTGATAAATCTGTCCCGTCCTTACGTGATCATGTCCTCAGGTTCTTTGTTGAGCATCTGGACACTGGTGAGCATCATGCAGCGGCCCACCTCCTTGTCTAAGTGTCTGAGGATATTATCCAGAGACTTGCGCACCTGGGAGTAATAAAGAGACATGCCTGCAGAGAACAGATGAAGATCATTCACAGAGCTGGTGAGAACGTTTCCAGCACAGTGGACTTAATCCCTGCAGACAGACTCAGACCTATTAGTTTGGCTTCCTCTTCAGTGAGTGTCTTGCTCAGATATGTTTTTTTCTTCTTCAGTGAGTTTCCGGAGGGCAGAGTTGCTCCTGTGTTGGGCATGGGAGGCTCTCCATCCTTCTGCTGCAGAGCATCTGCTATCACCAGGAAGGCACGCAGACCGATGTTCATGCGCTGGAGGACAGATCGAGAATTTGTGCTTCGCGTCCATCAAAGGTTATGAAAGTAGAAGGAATGATTTGACGCAGAATAACTGAAAATGTGTCTGTAAACTAAATAAAACCATAATGCACTTGAGCTAGCAAGACAAATATTCGTTTTTCCCACACGATTCATTTTAACGACCCAACCGAGACATTGCTTAACTCTTTACTGTAAATAGTTGAAATGCCAGACAACAAAACACGTGAACGTTGCTTTACCTCTGGGTTGAGACTGAAGGCTTTGGCAGGTTTCCCAACACTTAACAGGTCAAATATGATCTCTTTCATGGCAAAATCCAGTCTCTCCTTCACAAAAAATGATCAACATTCAGACGTTAAGGTATTGTTGTGCAAGGCAGTAGAAGCTTCTGCTTCAAAGCTCTTATTCACTTGTTTTTACAACACATTTGCCGTGGTCTCCAGAACGAATGATTGCCTTGTGAAACGGTTTTAGTGGTAAAAAAAAAAAAAAAGCTCTGGCGCTCCTGTTTCAGGAAGTAGAAGTTAGCCGAACAAGTGGGGGCTAGTAAACAGCAGAATTTAGAATCTTACTCATCAATTCCTAATATTCAGACATCTCCCCTCTCATTGGCTAACAGCGATGTGACTCTACCTCTGACTCTGCTTTGCAATGTTGATGTTTTATCTCCACAAATAACACAAGCCTGAAGGAGTTCGGCCATGTTGTGGAGTTGCTAATGCTAGCGGTTAGCTTCCACTACTAGCAAAGATGCGCTCTGCTCTCTCCTGGACTTTAAAAAAGTTTGCATTTTTGGCATCATGGAAGAGCTTGGAAGTAAAAGTAAGAGAGAAATGTATATGGAGGTAAAGCAAGGAGCTAAAACCAGAGTGAACACGCTGCGGCCTACACTAGCTTGGGTAAGCTAAAGGAGGCTACAAAAGCATGGCCTGATGGTGACCTGGCTTTGTTGCTACAGAACTTGTAACTAATAATATTTTTTGTCCAATAGTGTGAATCTTTTTACTTTGTGGCTTATTTAGTATCAGTTGGTTCCTGTTATTGTTGACTACAGCTAGCTGCTGCAGACTTGTTTACGATAGGTGTAATTAAACTTTTGACCAGTAGGGCAGAGGAGCAGGAAACTGCTTAGTGTTATATTAAAAAGTTTGACCTAGATGTACATTTTTCTCTCACACACCTGAGCAATGAACTGAATGATCTTGACAAAAATATTGAGGGGCATATCTCTGGGCACAACACTTCGACTCCCTTTGGGAAACAAGGTGGAAGTGATGGATGTCAGGCGGCTGAAAAAAAAGAGAGAAACATTATTATTTTATTCCTCAGAGAAAAAGTTTTGTCAAAAAAAAAAACTATAGTCAATAAAAGAAGGAATAAAATCTCTGATTAAAAACGATGCATTTCTTGCTCCCACCTCTGTGTTGCAGTGTTGCTCTCACACTTTATTCGGATCATGTAGACCCACAGCAAGCGGTAGAGGGATTCTAGCGCCACACGTGCCATTTTAGGGTCTTTGTTCTGCATTAAAACACAATTAAAACAATTAATATGAATAATTTTTATGCACTGGCCCTTAAAGCTGCTATAACACAATTTTTTGCAAATAAAAACAAGCTTTTTCTAAATGTATTTTTACATGAAATTCAGTATTTTGTGCTTCCTCATAGGCAGAAGCTCACTGTAAAATCACTGCTCAGTGTGCCACTAAACAATGGAAAAACAAACACACTGGTTGTTGCTTTTGCATGGGCTGACCTTGAGATTGGAGAGGCAGTTGTTTAGGAAAATGTGCCAGCGGCTGAGGAAGAACTGCTTCTGACTGACGCACAGCAAACACGTCACCAGCGGGTACAGAGCCTGCACGCAGAAAGACATCAGACAACAATTTAAAAGTATTTATTCAGAAGACGCTCTGTTTTTTTTGTCATTTTAAATATACATTTTAATCATTTTTTTAAATCATTTTTATATTTTTACTTATTTGTTTTTGTGAAGCGCCTCATGATTTTTATCTTGGGAGGCGCTCTATAAAAGATCGTTTTCTTTCTTTCTTTCTTTCTTTCTTTCTTTCTTTCTTTCTTTCTTTCTTTCTTTCTTTCTTTCTTTCTTTCTTTCTTTCCATCTTATTAAATTAAAATATCTTCTGTTTCACAAACTAATTAAAACAAGGCCTAAATGAACTAAACCATCAGTAGAGCAAATGAAAGATAACCAGAAATGTGTATAATTCTGTTCACAAAGAACTTGCTGTAGTTTGCATGCCAGCTTCCTTAGCAGGAATGACTTGCTAATGATCCGCGTTGGTCTATTATTACCTCATATCATGAATGCTTTTGTAAATGTTAGCTTTGACAGGTACATCATCTACCAAGCACTCCTTATCAGTGGGTGTTTGTTATGCATCTCTCACCCATTACGGTCCCTCCTCTCACTCAGGAATGTAAAAGCAAAACAATTAAGAAAATGCACCGTGTTGCTGTCGCGTCTGCTCGTTCAGCTCCGTCTGACACGGCAGGTTCTTGTTGGCTTGCACGCGTGCTCGGATCCTGTTTGTTTGGAAAACAAAGTGAAAGGAAGGCGAAAACGTCTGGGCGAAGGGAGGTGTGTGTGTTTGTGTGAGGCTTGGCTGCATGTGCCGTTCACAGTATTTGGAGAATCCGTCAAAAGGAGAGTGCATACCAGCGGAGTGGCATGTCTGCAGCCTGAGGACACGGGTGTCTGTGACAGCAGCAAGAGGAACTCCTGCAGATATCTAAAATAGTCCATCAGCAGCAGCCAGCAATAATGCGACGAAGCAGCTTAGTGACGCAGCTCGTAAAGGAAAAGTCTGTGCCAGCTGTTCCGTGGGTGGGGAAAATGCGAACACCAATGACTGATGTTTGATTTAAATTTTGTCTTCATGTTTTAAATGTAACAGAAAAATAGCTGCTTTTCACTGAATTAGAATATTTGACTTATTGTAGAGAATGATTAAGTATATCAGTGGTGAAATGTGTTTCTCTAGAAATTGGAGATGAGTCAGTTTCTTCAGAAACCAGATGTGTCTGGAAGGGTGCACAAAGAAAGCGACGCCAGCAACCATATGCAGTTTGATAAAGATCACGGTGAAACCTTTGTGCAGAGAACAGTTTAAAATCTGATTGTCTGGATAAAACTGGGTTGTTTCAAAAGATAAGAAAGACTTTCTGAGACTTCATTAAAATCCACTTGATATAGTTTTCTGGCCTTTAACTCAGTTCTCAGAATGGCCAATCCACTGATGTGGCGTTTTTATTGCCGATACCGATAAGTAGAGGACCTGGTCAGCTGATGGCTGATATGTGCTGCTGGACTTTTGGCCAGATTTTCACAGCCAACGTCTAAACACTCTCCACCTTATCTGCATGCTAAAATGTCACTAGTAACATCAATTGATGCTCAACATTCTCAGCCTGAATCAGTTTTTGAACTCTGAATTTAACTGTTGAGTCTTAATTTTGTTTAAATCCAACATTTAACCTAAGTTAAACAAATCAATAAACTAACCAAGTATGAAATAAACAAAACAGCTAAATTAAAATAAAATTCAGTTAACAGAAATGTTTCAGAGCATTTATTAAGCAGATGTTATTCAAGAAAGTAAATATATGTTCAAAGTAACCCTAAACTTTATTTTAACTGTAAGCTAGAGCTTTAACATTGATCACAGTGATTATTGAGTAAGAAACTTGACTAATTTCATGTTTGACACCACTCTGCAGCCCTTTGCTGACCAAAAACTGTACTTAAAATTTGTGAAATGGGTAAGTGCTCTATTGAGGGAGCTCTTTACCTGCTTTAAGGCTATTAGCTGTTATGCTAGCTGTTAGCTTTTTCAGTTCGCTGATCATCAATAAAAAGTACAAGAAGAAGGAAAAGACAGAGTCTGGAAATAAAAGTAAGAGAGGGAAAGCAAATCGCTAAAACCAGAGTGAAAATTGGCGCGGCCTACGCTAGATTGAGGAAGCTAAAAGAGGTTACAAAATCATGGACTGATTGTGACCTGGCGTTGTTGCTATTGGACTTGTAATTAATTACATTTTTGTCCAACAGTGTGGGTCTTTTTACTTGAAGATTTATTTTAGTACTAGTTGGCACATGTTAGTGTTAGCTCATTGTTAGCACTAGCTACAGCAGAGTTGTTTACGACAGTTGTAATTCCACTTTTAACCAGTAGGATAGAGGAACAGGAAACTTATTAAAGAGAAAGCCATAGGGGCACTTGCTCTTTAAAGAGCAAGTCACCCCCTACCAGAGTATTACTCCACTCCCACTTCCTGTTTGAAAAATACAACAAATGCTGTTGCCTAGCAGACCGAGAGGGCGGAGCTGCTAACAAATACACACAGGCTCACAATGACACTGTGACATCATAATGTATCAGCTGACATCATAGTGTACCTCTTAGCCAACAGCGACGGCAGATTTAAATTCAAATGCAGTGCAGAGTTTTTACCTGAAGACGGCGCAACACTGACCGCTTGGCAGAATATAACAATTTTAACTAAGATGGACTAAAGTGCCAAATTATTGACAACACGTGTCTACAGCATGATTAGACACTCATTTATATAGTTTATCAGCAAAAAAAGTTTATTTGGGGGTGACTTAATCTTTAATGTTACCTTAAATAAAATTTGGCTCCCCGTGGATGTGTGCCTGACTTTAAATTAGCTCTACGAAAACGTATATTGGCCAATGCAATAAATAGAAAATGATAAAAATCAGGCTGATATATTGGTCTAACCCGACTATGAATTCACATTTATGAATTTCACTTTTATAAACATTTATTAATAATTAATATTATTTCCATTGAGTAGTACCTTTTCTCTCCCCGCAATATCATTTTGTTTACAAAATTCTCTGAGACAAGTTAACACTAATTTATACAAGTAAAAAACAATACATTTAATAAAATCCTAGAAAAGACTTTTTTAAAGTTTATAGCTCTTCACAATGAACCAGAAACTGTGACTTTAGATGCTCTAATTCTGATGTGCTGATTCTTCCACCTGCTTCAGTGCTTTAGCCAAATGAAGCCCATCTGGTGAAGCTTCAAAAACGCATCTGTCTGCAGCACTTCTTTAATCTCACACAGAGATAAAAGCCCACATGTTGGTGGGTTACAGTAAGTGCTTTTTACCAGTTGTTGATAATGGAGAGGAAATGAAGAGAGGTGACCAAGGATGAAGCAGAATCTGGTAAAAATAAACACAACTTACCAGTGAGTGCTTTTTTCTAGAGGACAAATCCAGCGTGGTGTCATGAAGACTCTCTACGAAATTTCGCAGACATGGAACATTCACCTCATTCTTCACAGTCTGGAAGTAAATGATCAGAGTCCACTTTTAAAAATGTTTAACAAGAAAGTAAAAACTGCAGCGTAATGAGTTAAACTCCTGCAGTTTATTTGTTTCTTTATTAATCAATTATAAAATGTACTTCAAGTCAAAAATAAAGTTGAAATAATATTTTGAAAAACTAAACATTAAACGAAAAAATTAAAATTGGAAACAAAAAACTTGCCATAAAAACTTTTATTTGTCTATAAAAGGTGAAATCACATACCAAATTGGTAATTTTTTGTTTGAGTTGTCTTTTTTTCGGGGTTTGAAAAAAAAACCTAATTTTGTGGGTGGGGCCTTGTTGTGGATAAAAAAAAAACCTCTCTTTATTAGCCAGAGTAAAAATAAATTCCCAGTTTTCAGAATAAAAAACGTATTTACTTAACTCATTCACTGCAAATGACGACTAAAGTCGTCATTTGCATTTTTTTTACTGTTTGAGCATCGGAACGAGCCCCCGCGCTGAGAGAACAAACATCTCAGCCCTGAAGCCGATCTTCATCCGCATACGTCACACGTCACGTGATCAGGAAGCAGACCATCCATGTGTTAGGAGATCGTTTGGGCCGTTCCTGTAAAAAAAAAAGTGAAGCGCGAACCGGAAAAGTGTCTGCCGATCACAATTCGACAACGGATTATGAAAGAACGGATAACGCTCGAAACACACGGCTTCTTCCTGATGTAAGAGGTGAGTTTCCTCTTTGTTTTGGTTGTTTTGGCATCAACATCATGCTAGCGCGCAACGTTCTTTGACTCTTAAAAAAAACAGTAAAACCGGTGAGAAACGCTGGCAGCGAAGGCCGTTAGCGATCAGGAAACGGCTGGCAGTGAATGAGTTAAAGTAACAATCGATAGTTTTTTAACTTTAAGCTACAACTTTAACATTGATCTCAGTGACTGCTGAGTTAGAAACGACCAGTTTCATATTTGACACCACTCTGCAGCTCTCTGCTGACCAAACCTTGTGGAGCGGGTAGGTGTCCTTTACCTTCTTAGCGGCCGTTAGCTGTTATGCGAGCAGTTAGCACTTTTAGTTCTCCGATCTTCAATAAAAAGTGCAAGAAGAAAAAAAAAAGAATTTTGTTTTTAATGTTGGCATCATGCCGGAGCCCCTAAGTAAATGTAAGAGTAATGTCTTTAGAGGCGAAGCAAAGAGCTAAAACCAGAGTGAACATTGGCACAGCCTACACTAGTTTGAGGGAGCTTAAGGAGGCTACAAAATCACGGACTGATGGTGACCTGGCCTTGTTGCTACTGGACTTGTAGGTAATAATATTGTATCCAACAGTGTGGATCTTTTTACTTTGTGGTTTATTTTAGTGTTAGTTGGCTCGTGTTAGCTTGTTTGTTAGTGCAGCAGGGTTGTTTACGGCAGCTGTTATTCCACTTTCAACCACTAGGGTGGAGGAGCAGAAAACTGCTCACTGTTACTTTAAACAAAACCTCCGCTTTTAAAATTATAGATATTTTTTTCTTTTTGGAAGCAAAATATTTTTACTCAAACAAAAATATGATTCAATTTGTAATTCAGCCTTTAATTGACAAATAACTGGGTTTTTTTCAATTTTTTTTGTTGTTGTTGCCATTTTCAAACTTTGATTTGATTACTAAAGAAACAAAATAAACTCCACAAACAATCAAATATTTGCTGGTTATCAAAACCTTAACTTGCAAAGGTATGATGTAAAAACTAAGACATATTTGTCATTTAAAATTAAACGAAAATGTCTTCTATCAGACTCAAGTTTATGAGTAATAACAACACTTACAGCAGCCACAGGTACGAGTATTTCCACAAATAGTCCAGCTAATGAGTGCTTAATGTCTTTATCCTTCACTTCCAAGAAATACTGGGCACACTCCTGCAGACACAGGAAACAACACATCAGAACTGTGTACTTGGGAGGTATTTGGTTCAAATAGGGAGCCTTAGTCACACCCATCCATTTCCAGACCATGGGTCCCTGGAAGAACAAAAAAATGAAAGCAAGTCAACGAGGCTAAAAATGCTATTTACTAATTCAACTTGTTATGTGCCATTGACTTCACAAATGATGTCCATGCATTTAAAAGACGCATTTTGATGCCAAGACGTGCTTCATTTTGAATGGGGGAAAATGTTATTTTAGGATTTGTGTGAAAATAAGTCCAGGACTACGAATGTGCATCACCAAAGGGACGTCATCGAACCAGACACACAGAAAAACAGGGAAATGTCTGTAAGTTCAGTGAATTTTAAATCCTTCATTCAGGAGGAAAGAACCACCAGAAATCTGGCCATGTGGTGAGTAGCAGCTATGCTAGGGAAGAGGAGATTCTGTGGTGACGTCATATATGTGACGTCTGACTTATAATCATGCTAATTACAAACATTTACAAGCTGCTAAATCTCAAAGTACGTTACTGGCATGATCGTAACACAAATGATTACTTTTCATTTAAATTGAATTACAACCTATGTGCGGATCAGTGCATTAGGCTAAGTGAATAAGAAAATAGCTCTTTCAGCCCCACTGACATGAATTCATTTATTCGTTCTTCCAGGGACCCATGAGCCAACCGGAAAGGGAGGGGAATTAGGCTCCCTATTGCTGCTTCACATGATAAAAGAAAAGTAGAAACATTCTTCCCAGTTACCATCAAAGAGAAAACAAGTATCTGTGATGACTACAGAAGAATTTAAGGACACCAAAAAGCTTCCAGATGTTAAAAGATAACATAGGAGCATATGTACAGGGATGCTGTCAGAACCCCAATTAAGTGGCACAATTCCATGTCATTTAAACCAGTGGTTCCTAAAACTTAGTTAAAAATAAAAATGGTAGAGATTTTGAGACCCAAACTAATCCTGGTGAAATGTAAACAGGTCAGTCTACCTGCATGAACTGAAAGGAGGCTTCAAAATCTTCCACCGGGTACATTTTGATGCGGAAAAACTTGAGCCCCATGATGAGGCTGATGGTGGATTGGATGACGTATGGATTCTGCTCCTTCTGCTTCAGCTCCTTCAATTCAGAGATGAACTTCTTCCTCACAGCTGGGAACCTAATGGGAGGGGGGTAAAAAGGGAGGGTTTGGGTAAACATGGATGGTATATCCTGATGTCACCAGAATGATTTTACAGTTTATGCAGTTAAAACACCAAGAACAACAATTACGTGTTTATCTACGAATATGCAATCTGAGTCGGTTTGTGTTTTTTTTTTTTTCATGTGGGTTGGGTGAACTTTTGAGGGTTTGTGTATATCTTCATAATCCAGACTTTTTTCTAACAGCGTTCTGCTGCCTAAATTTAGAATGGCATCTGGAGGGGTGATGGGGAAGGGGGGGCATGCATGTTTTTTTACTTAGATGTTTGACACCGCTCTCGAGTAAGAGAGAAAAGTTATCCGTCTCATATTTAGCGTGTCTCACAAAAACAAGAAGAAAACTGAAATGTTTGTGATTGTGTGTATTTAGTGTTTTTTTATACACACATGTGAATAGTGTTACAATAAGAGTTAAATCTTTAAACATCTTTGGTGTGTTCTTGCCGTGTTGGGCTGCAAACTTCGTCAGGCAGCCACAAACGAAACGTTGCAGGTAAATTTCAGTGTTTTAAAAAGAACTAAAAGATGGAAGAGTTAAATCTGCTTTAAAAACCTTATTAAAGAGGAAATATCTTCATCTGAGAAGTATTTGAGTTTGATCGTGTTTGTTAATGTGTGTGTAATATACCTGATGGCCACATGAACCCCCACTTCCCAGCTACAACATGAAAAAAAGGGACGGTGCTCATCTTTCACCACACATCTGGAGTTATTTTCCTCTTGCACACACACACACACACACACACACACGTATGAACACACAAACACACACATGTACACATAAATACACACATGCAGAGTTTATAAATAAAGCCATGGCTTCAACGCGACCTGGATCATCAGATTGAGAAACCTAAACACCGAAAATAGCGTTTATGAGACGTATAGTACCTCGACTGAGCGACCACTCCCACTACTTCAGCGTAGAGGTCAGCTACGATGTGCATGTTGCCGGTGTTGGGCCCCAGATACCTAAAAAGCCAAATCAAATGAAAAAAAAATCAGCAGATGATAATAAAAGATTTGAGCTCTTCTCTGTTAGTTGCCTTACCCCTCTTTGTATTTGAAGTGCTTGAAGGCGAGGTTAACAACTTCTTGGATGAGTCCATCCAGTAGAGGGTGAAGGGGGATCTGCAGTGATGAAAAATGTTATTTCAAATCGAAATGTTCAATTCATTCCAACGAAAACAGTAAATAAAAAACTATCCATCCATGTTCTGCATGCTTATCCACGCAGGGTCCCGGGAGGCTGTCTCTGGGTAAGCAGGCGGGGTACACCCTGGACAGTCCATCACAGGACAACACAGAGACACACGGGACAAACAACCAAGTGTGCACACACTCACACCTAAGCACTATTTTACAGACCAATCAACCTGGCAGCCAAACTTTTAGGACTGTGGAAGGAAGCTGGAGTACCCGGAGGGAAACCACGCATGCACAGGTAGAACGTGCAAACTTCATGCAGAAAGACCCCAGGCTGGGATTTGAACCCAGGACCTTCTTGCTACAAGTCAACAGCGCCAACCACTGTGCAGCCCCAAGTGAAAAACTAAAATAAGAACAATCTTTTACTATTTTCTCCCAGTTTGATGAGCATGGTGCCTTTTCTGAGAAACCCGATCAGACAACAATTATGTAAATTGTTCTTTGTCTCGGGTGTAATTTAACATCCAGTTGGGCCAATTAACACACCAGTCACAAACACAGAGTCATCCTTCCTCTTCTCATGGATACAAAAACCCTGGCTTTGACTGGGGATCCATTCTTCTGTTTTCTTTACGTTTCTAAAGGAAAACATTAGAAGCTGTCTCTTGAAAACTAAAGATTCTTCTTATGTTGGCTTCTTTTTATGTGCATTCACTGCAAAACAGAAAACCCGAATTTCCATCTTTCAGACAAAATATACAATAATGACAACAACTCTGACTCTCTAGAGATAAAATAAAAATATGAAATTAAGCTATTAAACTAAAAAAATTGAAAAAAAAAAACCTAATTAAAAAACAGAAATAAAACTAAGTAAAAGTTAGGAGGAAGAAATAAGGGATTTGCTCACGAAAAGAGATTTTCAAATGGATTCTTGCTGTCAAGCATAAAGAAGTGATTTATTCTAAATTATGTTAACTAAAAATATATATAAGAAGTGTTTTAGTTTGCAGAAATCAAAGACACCTGTGTGGGAGTTTTAGAAGAGAGTAGACAGTAAAATCCACCTCACCTGTTTCAGAACTTCAATAAGCACCAGCGAGAAAATGAAGTCTATCGCCAGATCCCTACGCTCTAGTAAGTAGTCCTTCTGTTGTTCATCGCTGAGTCAGAAAAGCACAATCAGAAAGAAAGATGTCACCCACTCAGATTTGTATCCATGTAGAAGACAAAGCAACATAAGGACTAAACTCTGACTTTTTTGATTTGGTGTTGGCTCGGGGTCGGTACTCGTGGGACTCGTCTTCCAGGCCGTTCTGCCTCTTGTACCAGTCGAACAGAGTCTTTAAGATGGATGGCAAGCAGTACTCTGCCAGAGAGCTCATAGAGCTGATCAGCTGCACACAGGCAATAGAAACAAACGGGTTGAAAAAAAAGTGAGACCTTTCTTCTTTACCAACTACATTTGATAGTGATTCAGGTGAGACGCACCTGGTCGAACTGTGGGTCTTCTCCTCTCTGCAGAGATTTGTTAAGTGGCTTCTCCTGTGAGATATGAGGGTAATGAAGGAAAATGACATAAGGGATAAGGGAAGATTTTAAGAAGCAATGTACAGGTGAAACTCAAACATTTGAATATGGTGCAATGGTTCATTATTTTCTGTAATTCAACTTAAAGGAATGGTTCACTCGTTTAAACAACACATGTGCAGTGGTCTCCAGTAGGAATGAATTTCTTGTAGGTCATTCTTGGGGTGGGGTATATGCATCGTTTCTCTGACCTAAAAGTTCCCCGCATCACAGCTGAGCTTCAGATGGCATGTTTTGGAGTCTTATTTCCTGATATTTGGACATCTAGCAGCAGATTGGATAACAGCAACGCGACACTACATCTGACTTGCAACGTGAATGTTTTTTCTCCACAAATAACACAATATACCACATTTTGTCCTGCGATATTATATCGATATTCAAAAGTCGTGTATGAAATTTTTGGAAGAATTTACATGCAAACATTTGTGTATGTTTTTGTTGTTGGTGCAATTCAAACACCGACCGCTAGTTGGCAGCAGTGTGCAATTGATTTTGTTTCCACCATTGAAATGTAAATCCCTCTATTATGGTTCAGATAGCTCATGTTAAACATGTTGCATATCTGTTTGGACTGTTTATTGAGCTTTCCTACAATAAATTCAGTCTAAACAAATCACTAATACTGTCTGGCTGAATGTATCTCAATATATCGTGATATATCGTATCGTCTCCCCTGTATTGTGATATGTATGGAATCGCCAGAATTTCACCGATACACATCCCTATACATGAGATGGATTCATTACATGCAAAGCCAGATATTTAAAGCCTTTATTTGTTATAATTGTGATGATTGTGGCTTACTGCTTATGAAAACTTCACGTTAGAAATCTCAGACAGTAAAATTTGTGAAAAGGTTTAATATTCCAGGCTCAAAGTGTCGCACTCTAATCAGCTAATGAATCCAAAACACCTGAAAAGGGTTCCTGAGCCTCTGAGTTGAATTACTGAAATAAATGGATTTCAGCACCATATTCTAAATTTTCAAGTTTCACCTGTAGCTGCGAGGTAAACAAGAATTTTGGCAAGAATCTGGCGATACGATATATATCACAATACAATATGTTGCGATGCTAAAAGCCAGACGATATTTGCCATTTTTAAAACCGAATAATAATACTCAGGCCGGGTGATTCAAAGACACATACAGTGTTATTGTGAGATCTCGTTCTTCAGTTAGAATGAAGGCGGTAGAAATCTGCTGCCACCTACAAGTCGGAGTTTGAATTGCACTTAGTGCTTTTAAATATCCAATAAAAAACAGCACACTGTTTTAAATATCGGCTCAGTGTCATAACTAAATTACTGTGATATTTCGGTGTATCCATATTTTCTTACATCCCTTCTAAATATCCGAGCACATTTACATTTTATACAAATTAACAAGATAAATAAAACAAAGTTAGGATTATCAATGTTCTCAAACCCGACTCAGTCATGGCAGACGGCAGCTCATACTGAGTCAGGATCTGCTGGAGGTTTCTTCCTGTTAAAGGTGAGTTCTCTCCACTGTCGCTATATGCCTGCTTAAGCCTAATTTATACTTCTCCATCTGCGTCGGGACGGACGCCATTATCCGTCCTTTCAAGGCTCGCAAGGACGAACGACATTGAGCTCTCTTTTCTAAACATCCGTCCAACGAGGCGGAGAACGCAAGCTTGAGATTGGTCAGGACGCCGCTGTCATTGACATTGCGCCCTCAAAAACATAGAGCCGAAGATATCTAGCAGCAGACACGGAGCAGCTTGAAGAACACCTCGCGGAAAAACTCTAAAGATATGAACGTTTTATTTACCCGTGGCTGGAGGAGTGAAAAGATATGCAGCAAGCATTGTATTCATGGACGGAAAAGACGGGAAACGTGGGTTTAGAGGTTGCGAGAGCATGAAGAGGCGGAGGAGAATGAGGGACAAATTTGTCCGTGGTAAAAAGTCTCTAAAATACAAAAAAAAAAAAAACCACAATAGCAAGTGCACTATCTTGGATGGGACACATGACAGGCACCACAGAACAGTGTTACGCCCTCTGTTGTCCTGCCAGGAGACGGAGAAGTCAAGAGAGCAAAACGTCTCCATCTGTGTGTGCATGTCTCTCCTTCGTGGAGCTAACAAAGACATATAAATTAGGCCTTAGTATGAAGGTGTCATGTTCTGTGTCCTTGTGGTCCCCAGCCCCCTCCTGTTCTCCCTCCAGGTGTCCCCTCAGGTCCCGTGCTCGTGTTTCTCCAAGTTCGTGCTCACGAGTGAGCTTCTGTTTTGTTTTTGATCATTCAGTGTGTTTTGAGATTAAGTCTGGTTTTTGTGCCTTTGGACTTTTGGCGCATCCCCCTTTAAATAAAGGAATTATTTCCTTAAACCACTCCTGCCTCGAGTCGTTCTGGGAATTCTGCATCTTGGGTCCAAAACCTCCTGCTCTCACCGTGACAGAAGGACTGATGTAAAGTCCTTCACTGCGTTTACATGTGCATCTAAGTTAATCTTAGTCGATCTACAATAGGGCTGCACAATATATCGCAAATATATCATTTTCGCGATATCAGCATGCGCAATCTGCTTATCGCAAAGAACAGCTAAATATCGCAATGAATGGTCAGCTCCAATGTTTGCTACACATAATGCATTCTGTTAATCAAACGAAAGCATGATGTTTTTTTAACAAATCAAATAGAGCTCTTCAGCCATTTGGCCAATTGGGTGGGTTCTCATAGGTTAGACGCTCGCCCCCGAGGTGAACGGCACTTAATTTTGATGGTTAGCAAACACCTGAGTTAGCTTTGTTCTGCTGATTCTGCTTTTCCCAGGATCCACTGATTGCCTTTTCTTGTTAATTTTCTTTTTCCCTTTCCTCACATCTTTCGCTTTCCTCATTTTTATGAAATTTTTGTCATAATTTAATTTCTTTGTTTTTGATTATTTTTGTTCCAGAGTTAAGTTTTTATTTATCGCAAGTAATATCGTCATCGCAATATTAATCACTGTTATCGCATACCGCAGGTTTTCCTAATATCGTGCAGCCCTAATCTACAACAATAAACTGAGAGCCTTTATCCTAGTTCACATGTATGATAGAAAACTGAATTACTGAATGAAGTGCGTTTTACTGGGTGGTGATACGCGCCCTTTCTAGTCGTCGTTCTTCCAGTTAGCTTATTGTAACACAGATAGTACACAAACACTTGCGGGGGTGAAGCAGATGGAGTAAAAACTGGATATGCAAAATGGCTGAAGGAATGGGCAACATCAACGCTGAAGCACAGCTGATTTGGTGCTCTTCTGTTTGATGGTGTTAGACGTGTTGGATTGTGGCAATGACAGTTTCAGAAAACTGTTTCCGCAATCTCCTCACTTCCAACTTTCAACAAGAGTGTCCAACCAGTACCAGCTCAGCTGAGTCAACCACAGTACCTGGGTACTTCAGCTCAATTAGAATCAGTTTGCCTTCAGCCAGACTAACGTGTCCTGGGTCCTATTGGTTTACATAAACTAATAGTTTGGTTTACTGACCTTGCGATCAAACGAACTGACTGACACAAGTCAATGACTTGATGCAATCTCTTGGGTTTCCTTATGTAGAAAACCTTTGACTAATTTAAATAATGAACTGAACCCAATGCACAGATAAGTAGGTTGTTTTAGAACCTATACTTTACTTAGTGTGTTGATTTGACCCTACATCTAAATAAACTGAATTTAATTGGAAAAGAGTCTCCTAGTCTACTAGATAATATGTTTTGGATTTAACACAAAAAGTCCTAAATTAACTTGAACCCAGTTTGAGACTTACCAATTAGGATATGGTTTCATTAAACATATTAGGTTACTTATGAGGGCTGAAAAGATGCAATAATGTGAATTCAGTTTTATAAGCATGCCAAACTGTTTGAATTTGAGGAATGTTTAATATATTTATACCGTATGAAAATGTGAAAAATGAAAGCTTTCATGTGTTTCACTCAGTTGCCAAACAGAAAATCGACATTAAATCATGTTCTTTGCTGATGCTTCATATTTGACATGTTTAACCAGGCAGGCAGATCGTTTCCGTATATATTTACTAAATCTGATCATTTTATCTTTTTTTTATTAGACTGCAGCTATGACTTTCTCTTTCTCTTGTCAACATAAAAAACATAAAAAGTCAATCTAAATAAATCGATCAGATAAGTGACTGAGATGCAGAGTGAGTGATGCTGTAACCGGAGATGAACGAGAAAAGAAACACACAACACCTCGAAAAATCCATGCAAACTCACTTACCAGTGGCTCAGCCATGATGACGCGAATCTTGCGCTCTGAGAGTAGGGTGAAGTTGGCGAACAAGCTTTTTAGGACAAACTCGCCCGGCTTGCTCTCAGGGTCTACGCTGACAGGTGCCATGATGACCGGACCCTTCCTCTCTCCTAACGTGGTGCTGGGAGGTGGGATCGATGGCTTCAGTCCCACTGGAGAGGCTGAGAACATCAAAGATCAGTCACATTTTATTGTTTTTTTTTTTTTGTTATCAGTCTTTCAATCACAAGAAACCAGGAAGTGGAACATCTGAGTCAACATAAAAACATGGATGCCACGTGTTCTAAGATTTTTGCTTTTTGTCATTTGAGACAAGTCGCAGCGCCTTGCATTTTTAACTTAGCTTTCAAGAAATGATCATTTGTCTTGTTGACCCTTTTTTCAACCACAACTAAATGATGTTGTCTCACTTTGATAAGGAAAATATGTCGAGGTGAAAGACGGGAATGCAAATACGCTTTTGCAAACTACACAATAAAGCTCATGTTTGAATTTTTGAACATGACGACATCATCGAGAAGTCTGGACACTTAAATCTTACTGGATGTGACAAAACAATGTTCAGAGAGGTATGTGTGAGAAGCAGCATTCACATTCTTTCCAACATAACTGATAACAAACTAGGATCTGCAGCAGATTCTTCTTGTTGACCATTACTCGAGTCAACCACTTCAGTTCATATAAAAAAACTCAAAATCAGCGGCACTCTGCGTGAAACATGTCAGGTCTAATTGACCCAGCAAGGCCACATGACCTGGCTGACGTGCAGAAGTGATAATTCCCAGAGCGCATGGGTCTCCTGACCTCAAACAACTATCTGTTTAAATGACACCTGAGCCCTCACACGATGCATATAGAAACGCATGCCTTTGTAGGCTTACCGAGACCCTTGATGAAACTGATGACACTTGCCCTGCTCCATTTAGTTGGTACTTCCATGATGCCGAATGACAAAACGCCAAAAGGTACAGTATATGAAGCAGGAAGGAGCAGTATGAAGGTGGAGTGATACGACCTTCTTTACCAGTGGTAAAAATTCTTGCAAGATGGCATTTTTATCTTCATTACTTTATCATACTACAAACTGCAGACATCTCATTAATGCCTGGTGTCTGGCATATTTAACCAAAGCTCAATGTGTCAACCTCCATGGTTGGAAAAAAGAATATCAAGAAAAGTGGGAAAATTGTGACAGATGAAAAGGAATTTGTCACAGATTCAGTGTTACAGCTCCATCTCAAACACAATCCAAGTAAAACAGGAAGATAGTCGTTTTCCATGCTGGAGGAGCCATAACCAGATCAAAAGTGCCCACATGAGGACTGATCGGTGCAGTAGAGCTGAAAATGTAGCAGTCACAGAGGAAGAGACGTGAAAATATCCTTCGAAAATAAGGAATAAACAGTCTGCAAACGTATTCTGTGGTGAGAAGATTCTACCAGCACGGATCCAGAGTTTTTCAAAGCTCCAGTGAGAGTTTAGGTAGATCACAGGCAGCGCTGGGCTCCATTTCTGACAGCTATATGAGCCTACAGGTCAACTATCAATTTCTACTTTAGCCTCTGCTCCGCCTCCAACCTGACGCCCCCTGCTCTGTACAGCAGCTCCCGTGACCGTGGAATCCTCGAAGCCCATTGGAAAGGAGCACAGACATCAAGTGCTTCTTTGAAGGTGTTTGTGAGGCTGTCTTTAAGTTGTCAGTAGCAGTTAAGTAAAGTCTGCTCCTTGTGGAGGTTCGACCAGAAGAGTTGGGCTGGAATTTCAACACTGTTCCAAGACAGAGCTGAGGGGAGGAGGGAGGCGCTATATATAGACCGCTGGCAGTCAGTCTCTTACATACCCACCACTCCCACTGACCCCTACTCACACATAAGTGCACACACATTCAAACACACACACACAGACGTACACACTTGGTCAAAAGTGGAAATGAGAGTGGGAAAAAAAAATCTAGATAAACTTAAGAGGAAACTTTTGTATGAAAGAGACTTCAAACAAATGATAACTTCATCGTACAAACGTTGAGCATGTGCACCGTGGAGCTGTGTGTTTGAGAGAAGAGATGAGAGTGGACAGTCATGAAAGTGTCAAATAAGATGCACAAGGACTTTTGCAGGCATTGCATGATTCAGCGTTTTAGGAAACGATTCAACACAAACCCTGTAGGTTCAGTCAACAATCTGCCAGTTTAAATACAGTCGACTGCATGTGCTTTAACTGAAATCCTGTTTGGGCAAAGCTGATGCAACATCAAAACAAGATGTAGTTGTTGGACCTTGTGGTCTTTGTGAAACCAACAAGTCAGATTTCGTTTTATAATATTTAGAATATTAACCCCTTAGCATTCCAGCATCCCGCCCATGGGACAAAACCCCATTGCGTTTATTACACCTGGAAATTTAAAAGGTTAACTGTAGAGTTAACTGTAGGGTTCGCCCTCCCATCAGTTTAGTATGTTAGTATGTGTGTGTTTCTACAGTAAAGGAACACACACATACTAAACTGCTGTTGGCTAATGTTGACAGTGACACAGAATGATTCATTATAATTGCCTTGGGCCTGGAACTGAGGATGAGACGTTACAGCTTCCATTAACTTTCATTGAGTTTTAGAATGATAAATCTATTGTTGCAACTAGTTTCCAGGTGACGAACGAAACGAGTCACTTCTATAAAAGCACAAGTACAACGAAAACAGTGTATGTGTGATACACTCTTGTATTGTGGCATGCTTTTTGCGTTACTGATGATGGATGTATTTTTACTCAACAGTTAGCTACTTGAGTCATTAAAGTAACACACAATAAGCTAGAGCTTTAACACTGATCTGAGTGATTGCTGAGTTAGAAACTTGACCAGTTTGACACCACTCTGCAGCTTTCTACTAGCCAGATACTGTACTTAACAGTTTTGTGGACCGGGTAGGTGCTTTATAGGGGGTGCTCTTTACCTGCTTTACAGCTGTTATGCTAGCAGATAGTAGCCTAGTGAACTAGACCAAATTCTTGCTTTGCGAAGTTTGGTCTAGGAACACTCCACTGGAACCTCTGCAGCCCCTAGCAGCATTCTGGCTGGCAAATCACAGCTCTCTAGAGGGGTTTCAAACCCATAGAGAGCTGTGATTGGTCCATAATGGTGGGCCAATCATAGCACTCTATCTGCTTTGTGAACCAGTCACAGAGCTTTATGCGCTTTGTGGGCCAGTTAGGGTCCTCTATTCGTCTGGTGGGCGGGATGATGCAAAAGAGTAGAACAAGGTGGTGGTAGCTCGTTTAAAACGGCTTTTACATCAATTTTGGACTATTTGGACTTGGGATTTATTAGAATCAGGAGCAGATAGATGTATTTAAGTTCTTTTTTTTTAGAAAAAAAGATGTATTTTCGCCTTCTTCTTCTTCTCGTTTACCGGCATCCGTTGTGGTGAGTACGTCACATTGTTCATTGTCCAGTGGTATGCAGAGATCATTTGAACGACAACAGTAGAATCCACTCCATGACCGACAGCCGTTAATGGAGCTTGCCAGGCTAAGCAGATAGTTTTTTACTTTGCTGATCGTGAATAAAAAGCACAACATGAAAAAGAAGTTTGCTTTTTTGTTGAAACAAATTGCTAAAACCAGAGTGAACATGTATGCAGCCTACACTGATCTGAGGAAGCTGAGGAGGCAACAAAAACACAGACTAATGGTGACCTGGCTTTGTTGCTACTGAAGTTGAAAGTAATACAATTTTTTGTCCAACAGTGTGGATCTTTTCACTTCATGGTTTGTTTGAGTTTTAGTTGGCTCATGTTAGTCTTAGCTCGTTGTTACCACTAGCTGTAGCAGGCTGCAGCAGGGTTGTTTACGACAGTTGTAATTCCACTTTCAACCAATAGGGCAGAGGAGCAAGAAACTGCTTTGTGTTACTTTACAGCTTCTACGTAGTTAATGGTTTAATAACAAATGATGGCTAAAGATTAAAAAAAAAATTTAAAAACTTAAAAAGTTTAAAACTTTTCCAAAGAATTTTACAAATGATTTCAAAAGCATGAGATGACATGATGGCACAAGTTCAATAAAGTTGAATTTTGATGATGTCAGCCGTTTATCTTGTGATTTTGCTGCATAAGGACCCTGGCCCATTAACTGTACTGCTGGCCATCCCCATCAAAACTGAAAAACCGTGTCTGAACTTGGTCTTATGGCTAAAGGAAGTCTCTACCTTTTATTTTAATAAAATTATTCTAACAGGAAACATCAGCATGTCCCATATGTCTGAACAGCTGTAGCAAACTACAAATATTCACAGAATGAAAACTTGCATATTTCACTGTCAATGTCATCACATTACAGCATTAAAATGACGTCTGACTGGTGTGTGTCCTTTTCATCAACAAGAAAACTACTTATGTCACAATAATGGCAAACTGCAGGCTGTGTGCTGAATGATGAGTCCCAGCAGGGCGATAGGACAGAGAGGCGTTCTCCTGATTCTAATGTTTCAGATTCATAAGCCCACTGCCGTGAGTACATCATGTCCAGTTGTTGCTAGGAGTTTAACCCAGAGCTTCAGTTGCAGCTGGTAAAAAAAATATGTCAAAAAAAGTAAAGTTCAAGTCAAAATAAGAATCGGTTTTAAATATAAGAGTTGTGATTTACATCATAATCCTACAGCTGGCCACAATGACTCTACTAAAGTCACACTTTGTTAGCTTAAAATCGACATACAATTTACCCTCAACCTCTGGAGCTGGCATCTCGAGCTCAACTACCGGGCTCGGCGTTTTCCTATTACGTAATATTTACAAACATCGACGAGGTAAATCTCAACGTTTGCTGCGCTGCTTTTAATTCCCTCACCCTTAACACACAAAAACAAAGCCCTGCTGATAAACAGCTGATAAATCTGTTAGCACTGTCACCATAACATCTGTTAGCTGTACTCACTGCCTCCTAAAGACTTGAGCAGAGACTTGAGGCTGATGTCAAAGAACCCTGAATCTTGCTGGCTGGTCGCCATGGCTGCAGAGGCTAGGTCGCCACGGTGACAGACAGCAGAAAGGGGACAGGACGGCAGTATGAAGCGTTGAAGACGGAGCAAATGAGAGGAAGAGGCAACTGGGAAGAGAAAAGGAGAGCAAAGCAGGTGGGCAGCGAGCGCTGCGGATGCTGCGGCTGTCTGCTGCTGAGTGTGTGTGTGTGTGTGTGTGTGTAAGAATGTGTGAGTCAGAGAAACAGAGCACACTCAGCCTTTCCTGAGCTCTGTGTTGCTATATTGCTGGCTAACACCCCCCATCCTCTCTCTGTTTTGCTCTCAGGACAGTGATGCACAGATGTTGGGAGATGCAAATGAGCGGCCAATCCTCTTAGAGGAGAGAGGACGAGAGGGAGGTAGTTAGAGGACAACACACAGCAAGTGGAGCTAACGAGGAAGGAGAGTTGGAAACAGGGAGGTGTAATAGGAATGGACGAACTAAAACGTCACATGTATGCTGCCATTAAAAACAGTAGAATATAATGTTTGTGTTTCATATTATGCTGTTTAAAGATGCTGGAAGCTTCTCCAGCCAATAAGAGCAAGAGGTGGTGACGGACATCCAGGATCAGCCAATAGCATCCATTATGTAGCATCACCACCTCAGACTGATACACACAGAGTAGATTTTCTAAATTAGTAATGCTAACGCTATAATAACTTTTGAAACATCATTTAGTAATGTTTCCTCATTGCTGGAAAATAAAAACAAGACTTTGTCATCTTTATAAAAGGAAAATGAAAAGACTAAAACAATTGACAATGATGTTACTAATTTATTAAAAACGCCCAGCTTAAAGAGTCACAAATGTCCTGCACAATTAGGGTCATCATGTATGTCCCTGGACGAGCAGCAGAGGTGCCACAGGACATTTAGGAATGATGAAGGGATGGAGAAAAGAGAAAATGGAATGACTGGAAGAGTAAAGCATGCAAAAGGTAGAGGATCATGCTAAACTGTGCTCACAGGAGGGTTCTGAAGCACAGGATGGCCTGATTCACATTAAGAGACAATTAAAGCCTAATCTCAAGGGAGGAGAAATTCAATGCTGCAAGCCTATTTCTGTCTGCAACTTCTGTTTACTCTGCTCCAGTCAAGAGTTAAAACATTAATTCCGCATGTTAATAACTCAAAGATTAACTGACTGGCGTGGCGATTGAAAATGTTCATCCTAGTCCTCAACTCATAAAGGAGAGACAAGTTCTACCTGTACAGTATGTTATAAGGAAGCCAAGTACACACCCTGGTTTTTATAAAACCATATGTCCTCCCTCACTTATGTAGGAAAAAGCTTGGGTCCACACCACCTTGTTTTTGGCTAAATAGCCAGTGCATTGTGAAGCACGTTCATAGGTATTCTAAGCCTGTAGGTGGCAGTAGTTCACCAAATTGGTGGCCTCTTTGCCCAAAAACATTTCTTGGACATAGAATAGCTGGGTGGCGAGCAATAACTGTTCTTAATGTTGTCCTTCGCCTGTGGTCTTCTACATAGAGCCGTAACTGAGCTTGTAAAAAGAGGCAAGCGTGAACACGGGTCGCACATGTGATGTCAGAGCATTTGTATGGAAGTAGCGGAACGTAAAACCCAGGTCATTCACGTGAACAAGCTAATGCTAATAACAAAGAATTAGCAAATTTCCACCTGAGTCTTAGTTGTTAAAGAATTGTTTTTGGTGCTGTTTTTCTTCACTTTTGTGTGGATGACAGGCTGAACCGTAGAAAATATCTTGGTTTTGGGGGATACCCGGCTACGTTTATACAAGGTGTGACTCTCTGTTCTATGATTAAGTGATCATTAGATTAAATGAAAAGAAGTCATTAAGACTACTTTTATGAGACTAAAGAATGGTAAATTTTCATTGATGCTAAAAGATTTATTTTCAAGAGGACCATGCAGCTTGTTGCTGTTTGATCTGACAGAGAAAAGAGAGGATGGGGAGAAATATAATGAAATTCATAACCAATGACATAAACAGGAGCACATTTCACACAGTATAACACACACACACTTATTGTTCCAGATGAAGGTAAAAATGATAAAAACAAAAATGTGCGCACGCACACACACACACACACACCCTCATGGGATTCCTCACATTCTGAGCAGAAGCCTGGGCATGCCAGCTGCTGGAATGTGATTCTTCTGTTCACACACACACACACACACACACACACACACACACACACACACACACACACACACACACACACACACACGCATGCAAGCATATACACACGCCCACAAAGACACGCACACACTTTAAGATAATTATGATTTCATGACTTTTTGATTTGTTTTTTTTTTTACTATGTGAACCACACTTTGTGATTTTCTGTCTGTGACGAGTGCTATAGAAATACAATTTTACTTTACTTACTTACATGTACTAGGATTACAAACGAAGATGAGATTTGTATAATAATGTCCCATCAGTTTAAATATTTATTAAACTATTTATTGACTATAAATGCAATTTGGACTTATATTGTTGAGAAGTAAAAAAAGTCCCACAACTTTTATACTTAAAGGGACACAAGACAGTTCTGGCTTGGTTTAACACCGCCTAGTGTCCGTTTTTTATTTATTTATTTTTTTTTTTTTTTCGTGTCCTGTCTGGCTGTGAAGCAAACAGAAATGATGTCTGAATGCTGGTGACAAACCTTACAGATTTACTCTCAGGTGGAGCATCAAAGCGTCTGCTTTTAATGTCACGCCTGATACTTAAAACTTTATTGTTATTGTTTTTGAATGCTTTTTAATTCTGGCCAGACACGGAGTCAGAGGTGAAAGAGAAAGGAAAAGACAAAAGGTGGGGAGAGAGGGGGGGAGGGGGTGGGGTCCACAAAAATAAACAATAATGAACAAGAGTCTGCTTCTAGACCTGCAGAAATAGAAAGAATAGAAAAAAATGGGACACAACAATACAACAAGAGCAAGCTATCACTGCATCAACTTGAAGAAATATACAATCAGCATTGTTTAACTAAACAATCACATGATAATAAATTACAGTGCATTTAGTGCCAATGACAGCCTTAAGACCTGTGTTGAACGTGCCCAAGCCCATACTTATGAGAGCACCTGTGTGTGTACACGCGCTTGTTTATGTAAGGTTTCTCTATAAGAACATCCAATAGGGAGTGTGAGGGACCACAGATCTGCCCCCCAAAGATGTGTAGGAGACGGAGGGAGCTCCAAGTCCCAGAGATCCAGGCGCTGCCCCAGAACACAGGAACCCCAAGGAGACTGCAACCAGAAAGGCCCCCGCCCCCCTCGAGAGGCACAGAGGATCGCCCCGGGGGGCCACAACCAGCAGCCGGCAGAGTCTCGGGAGACATCAGCGGCAAGCCCACAGGCCCGCCCGCAGCCTCCCACCCCCTAGCCGGCTGAGCCCGAGACCCAGCGACCCGGGACCCAGGGGCGACCACCCCCGCCGAGGACCCAGCAGAGCCCAGGGACCCAGACCCCACCAGGCAGCCACCGGGATTGATCAGGCAGATGCCAAAAATCTTAAACCCCCTGACCCGGGAGCCATGAACATTCAGGCAAACCAAGGCACCACACTCCACAGCGGGTGTGGCAGGAGGAGGGGGGATGAAGATCTATATCATCAAAAGAAGTCCCAGGAGAAGAGAGGAATCAAAGGCCTCACCTGACATATACAGTCATACACAAACACAGTCATACACTCCCTCCCTCATGCTCACACTTACATATGCAACCAAAGACTTACAAAAATGCACACCGGACATCCACTCATGCTCCCCATACACACCCTATTCACTCTGGTCCCGGTACTGCTGCACATGGGGTACAGCCATTACTGGTTACCAGAGTTTGATCCTTTCTGCTGGGGTGCTGATGAGCAGGCTCCCCCGCCCAACGCTGAGCACAGCAATCCACCACCCCAGACCCCAACCAGACGGCCAGATCTCCCTCCTAGCCTCCAGCCCCAGGAAGCTAAGCAACGACAGAGGTGTGCGAAGACCCCTAGTCTCCCTCCCCCTGCTCCAATATAGTGTTAGTGTGTGTTGATGAGGTGTATTCCATGGCTGTGGTGAGCGGGCAGTGCGGGCATTGTCTGGCCTATGCCAGCTGATGCCACCACACCACCCCACTTGCACCCACAGCCCTCAGTGTCTAAGTGCAGTTTAAAATTGGAACTGGGCACCGGCACTCGGGATGAGGCTGAGAAATCCCCTTGCCAACTGCCACTGAATGTGCTCACTCCCAAGGCCCTAAGTGTGTGTTTGCGTGGAATGTCATTGTTGGAAGTTAACCTTTCTCAGTGGCCTAGTGGTAGAGTGTCCGCCCTGAGACTGGGAGATCAGGAGTTGGACTCCTGGCCGGGTCATACCAAAGACTTTGAAAAAATGGGACCCAATGCCTCCCTGCTTGACACTCAGCATTAAGGGGTTGGATTGGGGGGTTAAAACACCAAATATTTCCCGAGCGCGGCTTGTCTACAGCTCACCGCTCCCCCAGGGGATGGGTCAAATGCGAAGAATAAATTTCGCACACACACCTGTGTGTGTGACAACTAATGGGACTTTAACTTTAACTTTTTAACTTTAAGGTGCAAATAAAATTGGGGGGCAGAGGAATGCGGAAATGGGGTCCATACCCGCACTCCCTGACTTGTCCACCCACCAAGGTCCTATGTGCATGTTTGTGTGATGATGTGAGGAGCAGGAGGAGAGAAATATGCAGGGATGGGGAGGAATGGCTGGTTGGCCTAGTGTCCGTTTAAAACCACTGTTGTAAAAACGAACAGTTAAACTCACAAGCGCAGTAGCATGATTGCGAGGTTTGCATCCAATTTGAATCCTTAGTCTCTGAGCTCTCGCC